CCCTATGATGTGGCAAGAGAGCAAGTCGCTAGCCGCCACGTGGGAATAATTTAGAAACAGCCAATAGTGGGACACAAATTTGCATGCGGGTGGCGGGTGCTCCTTTGCACCGGGGTTTTCTCTATGCAACTGAGAATTGCACTGTGCAAAGAAAGCTCCATGTGGTGGGAAATAATTCTGCAGTGCCGAAGCACACACAAAATCATACCCTTTGGGTCATGACAGAAGTGAGGGGCAATTTTGAAAACACTCACAAATTACTACCGGTACCCATAGATTTAGTTAATCCACAATGGATGCATTTTGCCTTTTCTGAAACCACTGCAAGTTTTAGCACAGGTACTCCATAAACACTTCTAAGCAGCACTTTTGTACCTCTATATATTACAAGCTATCCATGGTATTAGTGCAAATCCAAAAGGCTCATGAATTTTCCATATATAGGCGATTTTGCCATTTGCGGGGGATACGAGAACATATCCCCTGCGAATGGCAAAATCCATGAATAAGGCACTGCGTTCATGAATGCAGTCTGCGTTCATGAACACAGTGCCCCTGGTGGCTGGCGGGGGGCATGGCTCCGGCAGTGGTGGGAGCACAACGGCAGCAAGTGCGGAGCTCCTGAGGAGCTCCTGTAAGTGTATTTAAAACGCGAGTTTGGCATTTGCGAATATTTGAAACCATGAATGCCGAACCTGTGAATAGCGAGGGTTTCCTGTAGTTCACTGGGCTGGGCCCCAGCAGCATCAGAATCATTTCAAGCCATGATGACCCCACAGCTCAGCCCTGTTCAGTATGTATGTGTATTCCAGATACCCTTCTTCTCTCCCCCTCCCTCTTCAGCTCCCCACAAAGGATCCATGGGCTAATTACCCTCCCACTCATGACTGGAACTGGGTGTTCTTATCATGAGTCCTGGGATCTTTCAAAAATTGATATGCAGATGAGATGCAGGTCAGCCTGGTTTAGCTCCACCTCATGGAGGACAGGGCCACACTAATCATATGCAAGAAACTGAGGGGGGCGACAGAGGGATTCTGGGTGAACTGTTTGGGACTGGTTTGGTGATGTTTGCCAGACATTTAAGGCTGGTGAAAAAACAGGAATAATTGGAAATGGGAAAGAAAGATGCAGTTTAGCTCTGGGAGTGAAGAGGAAGTCAAAATATGTTTGGTGTATCGGTTCACTATGATTTCAAAAAGAGCCGGCACTGAGGGGGAGGGCTGCACTCAATGGGCACTATCATTTGTCTCATTCTGATGCTTTGTAGTAACCTATTTGTGACAGGGTAACTTCAAGGCTGGATCCCAAAGCAGTTTGCCCAGCTGCCGAGGGCAGTCTGCTCTGTCTCATCTGCCACGACTTGGTTGTTAACTTGATTTATTAAGTGGGAGGCTGCCCATTCTTTGCCCCAATGCCAGGGGGCACTATCCATGGCTCCAAACCTTCCCTATACCATGACCCATGCCTTGGAGATGGCATCCAGGTTATGATTACTTCCCCTGGCCTGAGGCTAGGGCAAACTCAGTGCATAATTGGGCTCCATTCACTCTCACACTTACTCTGTCCCTCCTTTCACAGGGGTCTCTTGCATAGCACCCATCCTGGGCCACGCTCCACAGCCCTAGCTCCTCTTGAGCAACCCCTCATTGGCTTCCAGGCATAGCTACTCTCTCCCTGGTACCACCACACAGTAACTTCAGTTCCCACGAGTTCCCCTACTCTATGTGGCATAGCCTTAGACCAATGCTGGGCTGCATTTGCACCAAGCTCCTCACTGGGCAGCTCTATACCATGCCCCACCCTGGGGTCTGCTCATCATACTTACAACTCATGGGGCTGGCCCTTGTGCTGGCCTTCAGGCTTACTCCCAGGTCAGCCCTACTCAGCGTACCCCTGGGACTGTCCTTCAGGCCTACTCCCAGTTCAGACCTACTCAGTCCCCTCTCATGCACAGCCCTTCAGGCCTACTCCCAGTTCAGACCTACTCAGTCCCCTCTCATGCACAGCCCTTCAGGCCTACTCCCAGTTCAGCCTTACTCTGTGTGGGGCCTCAAGCCATGTTCACCAACTACCCTCTCTGGGGCCTCCAGGATCTTGCATCCCCACTGGGCTCATGCACCTAGAAACGAGCATACTTGGCCCTACTACTCCCACAGCTCCCATGATTACCCACCAGATGGTGGGGGCTGAGGCTAAGGTTCCCCTACCTGCTTTTTACCTGGGAGGTTAGTGGTCCTAGCATTTAGTTGAGACTGCCCTGCCACAGGCAGTCCCACCAGGCCTACCTACCCTGGAAGGAGGCAGTTTTAGGTCATGCACAGGACCAGGAGCCTCAATGCCATCCCCATAGCTCCTGCCCTTACAGCCAGGATGTTCCTGAGCTGTAGCTCTGCTGGCTGATGTTTCTCTCATGGCCACTGTCAGCAAACAGCTGCCTCCCCCTATATAAGCTGGGCCTTAACATGGCCACCCTAATCAGGCACCTGTTGGCTGTCTGCCTCAGTCCTTAAAGTGGCAAGCACCCAAAGGGAAAATACCATGACCACTAAGGTGGTTTTCCTACTTGGCAGAGAGTACTCCCCTGGCCGAGGTAATGCATAGTTAGCCTCCCACTTTCACTTCCAGTGGGAAGATCTTGGCTATACACTGACTTTATGGAAATGGGAGACTCTTCCTTAGCTTGCTCCTGAAGTCATACGGTTGAGGTCAAGCAAAACTCTGGGGCATCTGAACCCCAAGCATCCAGGTTTAGTCCTGCATGTAGGATGCCTGCCAAAGGATTTGGAAGCATCTGAAGTCCTAGGTGAGAGCCTGCTGGTGGTAGCTCCATACATGGTGTTTAGGATGACTGAGTTCTGCCTGCTCAATTGATACGGTTTTTGGAATGATTACGTTCTGCTCAATTGATACGATTGGAATTGATTTGGCTGATTTGACCTGGAACATGAAATATATTATGTAAAAAAATAAAAATCAAAATCCTCGTGGTAGGTTCCCAGAAACGTATTTGCCCAGCATGGGGCCATTAAAATTATAGTTATGCTGGCTACATTTAATCAACTTCATGGTTGGCTTCCATTATTGAACACATGTTGCTTTTGGCAGCAGTTTAATGATAGACAGTGTATTTAATGAGGGTTCCTTGTATGCAAATGTAAAATGAAGGTCTTTTTCCTCCATGATGATGGGGGATGGATGGACTGACTTGTCTTTTATTTGAGTAAATCAAATCACTGGAAAAATAAGGTAATCTGTGTCACCCTGCTTCTACCTTATTCTTATCCCTTCATTATTATACAGCAGCATTGCATACTGATCTGAAAACTTACAAGCCCAGGCAGAATATATACTTGCCTTCCTTTTACCATGATGATTAATAATGCAAACAAATGAAGCAGAGGAAAGGGTGGGGGCCAGAATACATAGGCACTAGGGCAGATGTGGATGGAAAAATGATGGGAACTTGGCACGTTGGGGTTAAAAACTTCTGTAGAAGAGGCCAACATCATGTCAGTCAAATGTGAGATAATGGGCAACACTTCCTATCATTTTTCTGCACCCACACAAGGAAAGAGAGGAAGGGAGGAGAAAAACACTTCATAAACTTTTCAAAAACTCATGATTTGGGGGCCAGTCTTATGATGCTAAGGCTCTAATGCATGGTTTTTAAACGAAATTGGCAGTACTTGTGCAATTACGGCTGCATTAGTTAAAAATGCTAATGCAAAACAAGTAGGAATTGCCTGCCAGGAAAGTAAGCAGATGTGACTTGACATAAAGATACCAGGCTAGCCAAGTAATTCATTATTTTTCCTTAGTCACACTTAAGATAATTATACTTTAGAATCTTGAGAATACATAATCTAATGTGCAGATATCCTGCAGGTAAAGCTGTTGGGTAAAACCTTGCCTTGCCTTTTTAATTATGAACTTGTGTATGATTTTTCTTTTTCCCTTTTAAAGGATAATGAAGAGCTGGATGTAGAGTTCTATTTAGAAAAATGGTGAGTTTGAATCTAAATGCACTGCTTAGTGAAAATAATCATTGCTAATATATTGTTTTATTTATATTTTCTATAGTACAGCAATAGTCTCCCACATACAAGAGTGGGTGAAATTTTTTACATTTCTATGAATTATTTTTGAGCTTATTACCAACGGCAATTAACAAATGTCTTCAAGGCTGCGACTTCCTCAGCCTTCAGACATCAACACATGAGGGATATTATTCTTTTAGTCTAGCATTGCAACAGATTCCAGTAATTTGAATTCCTATCTTGCAGCATGCAATGGGTAGTGAAGCTCAGAAAGGTTGAGTCTTAAGATGCATTTACATGTTCAAGTGATTTGGAAGAGTTCTGCTGGGTTTGTTCTCCAGCAGAAAAAAATTACCAGGGTATGTCTGAACAGACATTCAAATTGCTGAGTCCCTGAAGAGCAGAGAGCTTTCAGTTCTGATTTTGTGCAGCCAGAGGCCCCCTGTACACACACCAGCATGCTGTGCAGGCTCCTTCATTTTGCATGGCAACAGATGGCAATGGTACACATGACAGCCCTGATTGGCTCTCAGATTGTCCAGAGTAAGCCTGATGGGCTCCCCCAGACTGCTCAGAGTCAGTTTAGCCTAAAACTAAACAAATAAAGCCTAAGGCACATACAGATATTCAGGGCACCAATATACGTGCTGGATGTCTGCTCTGATGTTTGCTAATTAGTACACGTTGGAGCAGACTCAATTAATTGAGATTGCTGGAGCGTGTTAACTAACGTGCTCTGGCAGCCTCCATGTCACATGTATTCAGTGTCCCCATGCTTCAGAATGGCAGTAGCGTCACTTAAACTAAAGCCTGTTGAATGAATTTTAGTTCAAGTGCCTCTGCTATTTTGAAGCATAGGATGCTGAATACGTGTGATGCTGCAGGTGTTTTAAGTAGAGCATCTCTCAGAGCCACTCTAATTAAAGCACCCTCCCCACCACCTCAGAGCACATGCATAGATACTGTCAGTGTTGCCTGGGAGAGTTGTTGCAGTTCCAGGAGAAATGACATGTATATGGATGTTCAGGATTTTTGTCCCACAGCAAAAATAGCTGCTCCAGGAGAAAAATTATCTTAGAACAGCCAGGCTTAAATTGCTTCTAAAAGATTTTCTCATGGAAGAGTGAATGTTTGTTCAACTTACCTTTCTGAGAGAAGCCACAGCACAAAACTCCAGCATGCCAGGTTGCTTTGCTTCTGCTCTTCTCTTCTCCCCTGCTCCCCGACCCCCACTTCAAGACAGTGCATTACTCAGGTTGGACTCTACTATTCCAGCCCAGCAGAGAGCAGAACACCCTCTTCCTTCACAATGCCCATGTTGTGCTGGAGGGAGATGCAAGGTGTCTAGGCTGTCTGAGTCAGCCAATCAAGGCTACTGTGTATACTGCTGCTATTCGGTCTCTGAGCAGACCGAAGGAGCCTGTACAGCCCACTGAGATGTGTGCACAGGGTCCCCCCGGCTGTGTAGCATCAACACTGCAAGCTCTGTACTCTTCAAAGGCTCAGCATTCAAATGTCTGTTCCGGTGTCCCTGAGCATTTTCTCTCAGGTTTGTTCTCCTGGTAGAAATTCTCCCAGATTATTTGAATGCATGTATGAAGCCTTAGTCGGCAGCTGAAAGTTACCTGCTTAGTTAACCTTACAGTACAGTTTGTGTATGTCTACATGGAAGGAGGATTTGAGAGAGTTAATTAGCTTGGATGCTGCTCCGTGTAGACATGGTTGCTTTGCTTCCAGCTTTGGGGAGAGTGTCTGCAGAGCTAGATCCAGTATCCCTGCCAGGTGCTGTCTTGTACTGTTTAGATATGCATGTACCTATACAGAATACTTTCTTGTATATTTGATCCCCCTCTTTTAGAGCCTACCTTCTCTTCTGTCTAGCCTTTAGCTGGTGATGGGAATGGGAGGATGCATGACAGTTATGTAAAGCCAGGGAGCAATTGCTCTTTTAATAGTGAACATTTTCTGTTTCTGTGAGCAAAACTGTAACAAGGAAATCATTGGGGCCTGTCATTAGGGATGTGTGAAACAGCACCGTTTCGTTTCGACTTGTTTTGAAGGGACAGTGTTTTGTTTTGTCATTTTGAAGCACTGTTCTGTTTCGTTTCGTCGAAACTGTTTGAACGTGTTTTGATGTTTCGCCCATAGGCTATAATGGGGAATCATGAAAATGCCTATAACTTTGTCATTTCATGCCTGATTCAGATGAAAATTGCATGATGGTAGCCCCTTCTGAGGGCACAAAGCCTACCAAGTTTCAAGGAGATAGCTGCAAGTGTTTCTAGTAAACTGCATCTCAAGCTGCTAAAGCAAAACTCATGTCACTTGCCGGCAATGGCAGCCTCCTGTCATCCCACATGCAAATCTGGGGGCCTGTGCCCCTGGTAGGCCTGTGGGACTGTGCCAGACTCCTCCTGGGAGGTGTGGGCCCTTGGATCTGTGCCTGGGATGACAGGAGGCTGCCGTTGCCACTTGGGACCAGTGCTGGGCTCAGTGCCAGGAAGACTGCTGCTGCTGCTGCTGGCAGCAGCGGCAGCCTCCTGTCACCCCACATACAGATCTGGGGCCTGCACTCCCAGGAGGAGTCTGGCAGCGCTGGAAGGGCAGGTTGAGGTCTGTGGGGCTGGTGCAGCTGCTCAGAGCACAGCCCTGCCTCTCCCCATCTCCAGCTGCCTGGCTGCACTCCAAGCGGCTCTGCCAGCCCCATGGAGCTCAGCTCAGTGGTGGGAGAGCCAGTGGCAGAGCTGCTCCAATTGTAGCCTGGTGAGCACAGCCTGGAGGCTCTGCAGCCCCACGGAGCTGAGCCTGGCGGCAGGAGGCAGGGGAGAGCCATGAGCCAGGGCTGTACTTGGAGCCAGGGCTGCTCTCTGAGCGACTCTGCCACTGGCTCTCCACTGCCTTCTGCTGGCTCCCACCGCCAGACTTAACTCCACGGGTCTGCAGAGCCTCCAGCTGCTGGGTTGTGCTATGAGTGGCTCTGCCACTGGGTCTCAGGGCTGTGCTCCGAGTGGCTCCACCACTGGCTCTCCCGCCACTGGGCTGAGTTGCGTGAGGCTGGCGGGGCTGCTTGGAGTGCAACCCTGGCTCTGAGCACAGCCCTGGCTAGCACAGCCTGGTGGCTGGAGACTCTGCAGCCCCATGGAGCTGAGCCTGGCAGTGGGAGGTGGCAGAGAGCCAGTGGCAGAGCCGCTTGGAGTGCAACCTGGTGGCGGGAGATGGGGGAGAGCCAGGACTGTGCTTCAAGGGGCTCTGCCAGGCCCATAGAGCTGAGCCCAGTGGTGGGAGGCAGGGGAGAGCCAGGGCTGCCCTCCGGGTGGCTCCGCCAGTCCCATGGAGCTCAGCCCAGTGGTGAGAGGTGGGGGAGAGCCAGGGTTGCACTCCAAGCGGCTCTGCCAGCTGCAATGAGCTCCATTTGGTGCCCCGCCTCCTGCTGCCAGGCTCAGCTCCGTGGGTTTGTGGAGCCTCCAGCCATCAGGCTGTGCCTGCCAGGGCTGCATTCAGAGCCAGGGTTGCAATCGAAGCGGCTTCATCAGCCCCATGGAGCTCAGCCCGGCAGCAGAAGAGCCAGTGGTGGAGCCGCTCAGAGTGCAGCCTTGGTGAGCACAGCCTGGCGGTGGGAGGCTCCGCAGCCCCACGGAGCTGACCCTGGCAGCGGGAGGCAGGGAAGAGTCACTGGCCCAGGCTGCGCTTGGAGCCAGAGCTGTGCTTGGAGTGACTCTGCCACTGGCTGTCTCGCTGCCGGGCTGAGCTCCATGGGGCTGGCGGAGCCGCTCAGAGTGCAGCCCTAGCTCTCCCCTGCCTCCCACCACTGGGCTGCTTTGAAACTTGAAACGTTTTGAAACATTCAAAACATTCCGAGTGTCCTCATTTCATTTCAAAGCTATTTTGAAGCCTTTTGTTTTGTTTTGATTTTACTGTTTTGAGCTCTGTATGCATTGAAATGAAACACTCATCGCAATTTCGCACAGCTCTACCTGTCGCTATGATGGCCCACCTCCCCATCTAAGCAGTCTGCCCACCTACGCTAACCTGCCATGCCTTGATGTAGACAATAAGTTATTTGTCCCAGGCCATGCAGATGGCATCCAAATTCTACTGTCACTCCCCTGGCCCCTTACTGAGCCACTCTGGTCCAGCTAGGCCTCAGGAGTCCTTGGACGTGCCTGAGCCTTAAGTCATGCCCCCTTACTGGGGCCTCTACTCTAACTACTCTGGTCAGTTTGTATGCAGACCTTTGGGCTGTCTTAAGACCCTACTCTATATGGCTGCCAGTTGCGGCTAGTCCAGTCAGCCCACATGCAGCTCTTCAGACGGTCTTAAGGCCCTACTTTACACAGCTGCTAGCTGCCACTACTCTGGTCAGCTTATGTTCAGCCCTTTAGACAGTTTAAGGCCCTATTCTACATGGCTGCTGGGTCCCTCCTACTCTGGCCCCTCACTGGGGCCTCTAGGCTGCAGGCATCTGCTGACCTACCTGGGCTCCCCTAACTCAGCCTATGGTTGTGCAGGCCTCTGGGGTCTATCGACTTACCTGGACCCTTTTGGGCATTACGCCCCTTTGGGTCTCAGTCATCTGTCAACTTACCTGGACCCTGCCTCAGGCTCCACTCGATGGGCTTGGGTCCCTGTGCTTTTCTGCTGGGGTGTGCTCCCCTAGCCTTTCCCCTCCATGGGGTAACCCACAAGGCAGTGGGGGCTGAGGCTTTCTGGTGCCCCATACTTGCCTTTCACTAGGTAGGCACAGGTGTGACATTTTCTGGAAGTTTCTTTGCCAGAAGCAGGCCCCTGACACCATCCAACCCTAGCAGGTTGTAGTTTTAGGTCATACCCCAGGACCAGGAACCTCCTGCCATCCCCATAGTTTCTACCCTGTCCTCCTGGTGTTCCTGAGCAGCAGCTTCAGCCAGGTGATGTTCTGCCTGCAGCTGCTTGCAGCAACTGCTGCCATCTTTACTGCTCAAGCCTGCTCTTATTGCTAGCAGCTGAGCCCTCTTCCCCAATCAGGCAGTTTCTTCCTGGCCTTGTGACGCCTGATTGGGGAGTACAGTCACCTGCAGGCTACATCTGCTGCCTACTTAGGCTCTTTGAGTGGCAGGCACCACAGGTGTGACCATGAGCTGTCATTCTTTGTGTTGGACTATAGACTGTGAGCATAGTCCTTTTGTTTCAGGTGCTCAAAGACTACCAGTTTGGAAAGTGGAGTGAGAGGCATCAAAATAAAAGTCAAAGGGCAAATTAAAGTATAAATACATTCATACAGCTCATTCCTTTTGCAGCTCAGATGCCCCTACTGAGATCCTCACAAATGGAGTCCTTGTGGTGAGTGAAAGTCAGTTGGTTATGTTTGGGGAATAGTTACTTTGTGTAGATTAAACAGGACATGAGAGGACATGAGCACTTCCAAGTTAGATGGCCAAAATGCATATACCTCTGTACGGCCCACATCTCCCTCTTATATTTGATTTGTGTAAAGATAATGTGTAATTTGAATTTGTGGAAATTGTGATTCCAAGATAGGGATGAGAATATCATAGCCAAAAAAGATGTTCAAGCCAATGCCTTTGAACTATTGGTGGGTGTTTTGTGGACTCTTCTGTCCCCCAGTGCTAGACACTTGCAAGGCCCTCTCTTTTGTATCAGTGTTCATTCCTTTCATGCATTTCTGAATGGCAGTAATAGACAGGATAAATCACAGCAGGATTGGGAGCTGAATCTGGAACTTGGGGGCAGAAGGTTTGATTTTTATGTGGTCTCTCTGAATTTTGGAGGGAGTTTTATTATAAAGCATAAGAGGTGTTTTGCAGAGTCTCTGCCTGTCCACTACCTATGAACTGCAGGACAGTTAGCAACCTATTTTTCCCCTGGCATGTGCAAAACCAGTTTTTGCTGTTTGTATTTAATTTCCATTCTCACTGGGATCCCTACAGATCAGGGAAGCTTTTAGTTTTCCCAAATTCTAGGACAAGAAAGTGTTTGATATTTGGCAAGCATTTAGATGTAAATATATTTCAGCAAGTGTTCATATTTAAATAAGAGAGAAAAAAAGTCTGCTTGCATTCTGAGAGTTTATAGCTACATAGACTGGGTTGGGAGGAAGTTATAGGTGCTAGGAGAAGAGCATACTACTTGGTCAAAAGCAAACAACCCCACTGCCTTCAAATGGGAACCCCTTCCTCCCCCCCAGGAAAAAAATGTTCAAATTCTATCCACTTGAACGAAAATCTCCAAAATCTTTGTTTAGCTAAAGGATGACAGGTTATAGGTGTAATTTAGTTCCTTTAGTTGCTGGTTATATCTCAATGGGAAATGGACCAAGCCTCATAACCAGAGATGTCATTCTTTTCATGTAGGCTCATCCCTCCCTTTGTTTGAAAGGCACAATCAACCAAGATAAGTCAAAGCAGAAAGACCAGGGTAAGGCTGTGTGTGAATGTCAAGGCAGATGTTTACTTTTGTTTGGGGTCGCTTGAATTTTTTTCTGAGAGTTTTTCTTGCCATCAAATTCTAAGGAGCTTGGCTTCGCTCATTACTATGCATATTTTTTTCTACTGGATTCTTTGAAAAAGTGACTTTTACTGAATCCGGAATTAACGTGAAATTATATTATATCTCCTCTATGGAATGCCACATGGACAAAAGCTCTGGTTTTGTCTCTCTTGTCTGACTGTTTTTAATAATATTTTCTGGCTTTTGCCATGTTTCAGTGATTGCTATAGGCCTAAATTTCTCATTTCTGTTTTCAGGGAATTGTCAGGTCAAGCTGTCTATGCCTGGGGCATATGAGAAGCAGTTGTGCTTTCCCTTGAAACCTGATGATAATCAAGATTGTGGGATACCATTTGTTTTTCATGTAGACAAAGAAATGTGTCCAGACCTGGAGATAGAGCTGGAACAAACCACATCTTTCTTACAGGTAAGCAAATTTGTTGACACTTGGTAAGGTTGCAATCCACTTTTGGAACAAATCTCTCCAGAAACTTGGGGTCCTGATTTATGGATATGTCTTTGAGAGCAACTTGTGTTGACTTAGAATTTTACTCACCAGGCCCAAAACTGCTCCAGAGTTCAATGCAAATTAAAATCTAGTTTACCACTTTTGGGTAGATAAATGAATACCATTGTTAAAGTGTGCATTAAAATTAATTTCTTGTGAAATAGTAGAAATAGCTTGTGTGATGCTGGTAAAGCTACCTATTATAAAACTATAAGGCCCTGTTCTCAAGCTGCCCGTAGTTTTGCTAAAATAGGGCTGTGCGAAGCTTTGGTCCCTGATTTGATTTGGCAGAGATTTGGCCCGATTTGGTGGCTGAATCTCCAAATCCAAATCAAATCAGAGGATCCTTTAATCTCTCTGAATCGAATCGGAACACTGTGAATTGATTTGGAAAGATTTGGTGATTTAGACATAGACACAGCTTTAAACGTTTTTTTCTACATACCTCTAGGTAGCAGGCAGCTCATGAATGCTGTGATGCTAGGGCTCATGGAGCATCCCACAGAAGTGTGGGGTGCTCCCCAGCACACTCAGCAGTAGACCCGGAAGTGGACCAGAAGTACTTCCTTCTGGTCAACTTCCGGGTCCACCCGGGGAGCATGCTGGGGGCCCCCTGCACTTCTCTGGCTTTGCGACTGGTGCCTCCTGGATCTGGGGAGGCACCCAGGGTTCCCCCATGGCTAGTTGCTGAGCTGGGAGGCATGGGGGTGCCCTCCAGTGTGCTCCTGGCGGACCTGGAAGTGGACCGGAAGTACTTCGGTCCACTTCTGAGTTTGCCACATAGCACGTGGAGGGCGCCCTCTCCCCCCCTCCCCCCCTGCACTCCTGTGGGACGCTCTGTGGACCTCAGCATCGCAGTGTTCACAAGCCATGCTAGAACCTTGAGGTATGTAGAAAAAATTTAAAGCTGTGTCTATGTTTGAATGGCTGATTCATCGAATCTTCAGATTCGGCCAAATCGAATCAGGGACAGTGATCTCAATCAATGAATTGAATCACTGTCCCTGATTTGGGCTGAATCTAAATCAAATAGGGCCTGCTTCACACACCCCTATAAACTGACTGTTCAGACTGAAATTTTTTCAGGCCAGGGGTCCATCTTTCACTAAATGTGCTTTTAGTGCTTCTCTCTGCTTAATTTTCTGCGTACCCGATTCAGATTTTTTCAAAGCAAGGTAAGGGAAAAAACATTTAATCCCCCCTAAAAACAAAACATATGGGGGCCTTTTCTTTGAACAGCTCTAATGCCTCTGGGTTTTGAAGCAGGGACTTGAAATTTGTATTTGGAATATGTCTTTTGCTATCCCCATGAAAATCCAATCTTTGGGGGAAGGGGGAACCCCTAAGTTTGCAAATTCTCAGTAGAGATTTATTTCTGTTAATGAAGCAGTGCTGCTTATGTTAGACTTCATATATTTTTTGGAGATAAATTCCACATTTGGATGAAGGGAACATTTTTTGTGGAAGGTTGATTTAAAGTAAGTAAATAAACCCCCCCCACCCAAAAAAACCTATTTAAGTAATGTAAGGTTTTGGAATGAGTGAAATAAGTCCTAGCAGAGAAGGTTTGGCAGAGAACAGGTATGGTGGTTGATGGTTGGTGACAACCTAAGGCTTATTTTAATAAAGATTTAGCTGAAGCAAACTTGTGAGCTAAGTGTAGACAGTCAACAAACCCAAGGCTGAATTGATTCAATTTTCACAGGCTAGTCTAAGCTGTGTAAATTGAACTGATAAGCAAATGAACAGACATTCAGTTTTGATTCTGGAAATGCCTGCAGTGGCCCAGGCCAGAAGCTGGGGGAGGTGGGGGTGCTAGAGCATGCCTCCCTGCTAAATTGCAGAAGACAAGTTGGGCAAAGGCTAGTCCAAGGTGGGGTTGGCAGGGGAGGTGCAAAGCATCCTCAGATTCTGGGGGACTGCGAGTGAACTTGAATCTGGAAGGGATCTGGGGCAGAAGTCCAATAACTGATTTAACCTAAATTAGTTAAGTCTGATATTACATTTTTCCAGCTTTATCTTAAACTGGTTTCAGCCATTTTGAAAGTGGTTTATGTACACTGACCTTCCGTTGTGTTACAGATTTGAACTGGTTTCCAATTGCTTATACCGGTTTGTGTGTAATTTCTGTCCCTAGCCATAGGGTGCAAAGAACTCTATTTTGTGACACTCATTTGCCTTTTATATTTTTACAGATAAAATCAATGATTCCAAGAACATTTTTTTTCTGTGAATTTGAAAACACTTTTGAAATTATAACTATTTATTAGAATAATGTTATGTTATGTTTTATCACAATTATTAATAATTTAATAATTTTTATAATAATTTTATCATAAGAGATTTTATTACATCTCTTATCATTATTTTATAATTATGGTTTATCATTATTTAATCATTACCCCTTTGTTATTATTTTATTACTAATAGGATGGAATGAGCCATGACATAGAAAAACAGACCACAGTTTTGGGATCAGGGGTTGTACCAGTTAAGTCACTTCCTGTTGGACAGAAAGTAGACATGATTGTTCCTCTTGGAGAGGTAACGTATGAATTTTTTTTGCATGTTTTAACAATCTTGGAATAAAGTGCCATTTGTTCCAATATTTAATAAAAAGCACTTCTGAAGTTTGGTTTAAAAACACTATCTTCACTGAAGGATTACTGAGTGATTAGTGTTTACTGAAATTTAAAATGTAATATCTCAAGAAAAGACACTTCTTGGAGAGATTGTTCAAGAATCGTTCTCACAAGTGGTGTTTTGGGGGCTGGTTCCTTTTGAGAAAAACATTAGTGCTCAGACGTTTTGTAGAAGTAAGGGAAGAAACAAATAGGCTTTGCAAGAAGGGAGTAAAGCAAAATGTTCACAGAAAAAGTATATATTCTCCAAATCCATGTTCCTTCAGGGTAATACTTGTGTAAGTAGTCCATCTCCATTCTCATTATAATTCCTGATAGGCAATTATAGAGAGGATGGAGTTGAGTTTTCTCTGTGGCTGCGGGGGACAGGACAAGGAGCAATGGCCTCAAGCTGCAGCAGGGGAAATTTAGGTTGGAGATTAGGAGGAAGTTTCTGACTATGGGGGTTGTCAAGCATTGGAACAGGTAATTTGGAGAAATTGTGCAATCTCTATCCTTGGAAATCTTCAAGGGTAGGTTGGGCAGACTCTTGGCTTGGATGGTTTAATTAGGGATGATCCTGCCTGGAGCAGGGGGTGGACTAGATGAACTTATGAGGTCCCTTCCATTCTTACTTTCCTATGGTCCTAAGTATAAAATAGATATTGGGGAAAAAATGTATTCTATATATTTGGCTTTGCTAGTAGACATGTTGAACTTGTAGAATATTTGAAGACAACGTTGAACACATTTTCTATGCCCTTCAATGGGACCTTGTAAAACAAGGAATTTGTTGCACTTTACAGGGACAGTGTTTGGATTTCAGCACGACTTCTGAAGTGAGGTGAGTCAGAGTCTCATATATTCTTGATATATCCTTTAAGGAAAGGTCTTCTTTCTCTTAGCAAACAACATGGGTGACTAATTTATCTCTGTCATACACTCAGTTTGCCAGATGTCTGTGCAGGTTGGTTTTAAAAATAAAATCCTGGAGATTTTTTTTCTGCTAGTCAAATTCCATTTTAATTTTTATTGTAAAATTTTTTTTTTGTTGCACTGGTATTGGGAAAAGACCTGACACCTGAACAAAATTTTCATGTGTTCCAAGGAGCAAGGACTATAAATAGGCAGCTAAATATAATAACATAAAGTACTGAGCACTGTACAGGCAAATAAGCAGATGCCATCCCTGGCACAGAGTTTACAATCTGAAATAGGAGAACTCTGGTGGAATGGGATAGCACACAGAAGCAAAAGTAGTTGGATAATGAGTGGCTAAGTCCATATCTTTTCTAGTAACTTTTTAAAGAGATCCGAGTTAGCCTTTTTCTCTTCACATTAGTTCCTGATTCCAACTCTCCTCTACAAGTGAATAGAAAGGTGTTTTTTCTTCTGAATCTGCTAAAATTCTTGCTGAACTTGCCTTATGAGTTATGACACAATCCCTGGTTAACAAGACTAGTGTTCTAACTCCGGAGGTATGGAGCCAGTCACTTATGTATGACAAAACCTCCTTTGTCTTTCTTCAACGCAGTGTTCCCAGCCCCTTAGTGACTTTCTTTCTCTTTTTACCAAGAATCTTCTCTTTCCTCTGAAATCTCTGAAGCCCAACTGTAATTCATACTCTTATATGAAACAACTGAAACCTGGCATTTATGCATGATCTAATTTGTCACAAAATAAAATAGTGATAATAGAGTGGTAAAGTTCACTTTTAACCAGGGGACTCTCTTATTGTTGGTAGATAGATATACTTCTGGTTTTATGTGAATGTTGATTTTGTGTTCTGATGCCATGTTTCAGCCAAAAGTCTAGAATATTTGCTGAGAAAAGACTGGTAAGCACCTTTTTCATGAGGTGCTTTAGAGCTTTCTAGTCCCCTTTAATGATTTTTCTTTCCAACTCCAATTTCTGACATCAGCCCTTGGGATCTGGATATACGCCTTGGGTTTGACCTCTGTAAACAAGAGAGAGAATTTTTGGACAAGAGGAAGAAAATAGTTGCTGAAGCATTGAAGACGGCCCTTAACTTAAGGGAGACCCCTGGGAAAGATGAGGTATGCAGCATAACTTTGGAGATGTTTGCAGGCTCAGTTATGCTTGATTAGTCTTCAGGATAACAATGTAGGACTCTGCACATAAACAACAGAGCTTTCTTCAAACACGAGGGACACCTATAACGTGTCCTATTTTGAGTTTCTCACTAGAGAAATATGAAGTTTGAATTCCAGGTTACAGAATCTCTTTATATCTGCATTTATTTTATTAAATTTTCCTTTTAGGAAATGCACAAAATTATTTTATTAAAAGTTTTCCAGAAATTTGATGAAAATGTCTAGATGTTCAAGGTGTCAGACTCTCTCTGGATTCTCTTATCTAGAGCTGCTGCATCTTATGTTTTGAATTCTTTAAGCTTAAAATAAAATCAGCCTTTGGGCCAAACAATGCCCATATATGCAGCTTCCTTTGTGCCAATTTGATGGGATTAGAAATGTAGGAGTGAGCAGGAAGAGTGTGTTTTGTGTACTGTGCCTGATACAATAAAGCTCTGATCACTGCTTAGGGTCTTTAAATACTGTTCCTGTAGAAATGGCTTGTGTTTTTGTTGTTGTTTGTAACTGTGTTTCATGGAGAGTTACAAGACACACATTTAAAGGACCATATCTGTGGGCAGTATACCTTGCACCTCATTTTAGCAAGTGACTGACTCTTTGGATAGTACAATATTTTTATAATACAGCTATTGACTGAAATGATTAAATTCAAATATAAAATTAATTGGTATATTAATAGGAGTAGAAGTGTCTGTGCTTGATGGGTCTTATTCTAAGACAAGTAAAAAGTTATTTTAAAAATAAATAGCAAATCAAGAAAGGCTATGTAAATATATTGGTTTTGGTTTATTTCTGCAGGTTCCTGTTGTAGCAGTTTTGGGATCTGGGGGTGGGACCAGAGCACTGACATCGCTCTATGGCAGCCTATCAGGCCTTCAGCAGTTAGGCCTTCTGGACAGCACAACATATGTGTGTGGAATTTCAGGCTCTACGTGGTATGTAAAATGCAGCGCTGGTTCCTGAAACTTTTAGCTGGATGAGTTAATGTAGATCCAAGAGGGACACTAAGCTGAATGCATCTTCTCTTTAGAAAAATGGTAGGGCCGAAATATAATTTTTCTACCTGATATCAATATTCATAATATTACAGTGGGAAAAGGAAGTTAAGAAAGAGATCTGTTCCTATTTTAAATGCATGTTACTATCAGTGAATTAAAAACAACAGTAGCTGGGTGAAAACTGGGAGCAGAATATACCTAAATTTAATGTAGAAAGCAAATACTTTGGGAGACATTTTTAAGGCAAAGTCAGGAAGTAAATGTCCACCTTCCACTGAGTTACATCAGGGCTTGATTGCCCAACTGCCTTTTGCGCTTCCCAACTTCTCTGCCTTTATGTCTGATGGAAAATAATTGACAATGTAAATAAATGCTTGGCTTGTCTCTTCCTCTTCTCTACATATATACAGTACTGCATATAGCAGTGTAAATATATGGAGACAAATGCTGTTTTGAGAGGAGGGTCAGAAAGTTAGATATGCTTATTCTCTGTCTGATTCTTTTTTGGGGGCTGTTTCATGGATTGAAGGGGTTTGGGGGGCTGCTCTAATATGTGCCAACTAGTTGTGGTTCCTGATGTCCATTTGTCAGCTGCAGATAACCGGTGGGAAGAACTCTCTGGTTACACTTCTTTCCTGCATGAAAGGCCATGGAGATAACTGACATGGGACTTGGCTATGCCAGCTCTCCATCTTTGGCATTTCTCCACATTTGAGGTATCCCTAGTAAGCAAGATTGTTTTGAATTCTGTCCTCTTTAACTCTTAGTTTTTCAGAACACAAAGCCTAATGGTGCCCTTCAGTATGTGTACACAGACCAGGACTCCTCTTCTGTGCAGTGCCATTGAGGAGTTGTGCAACCTGAAGGAGCAGTCCTTTCTTGAGGCTTAGGCGTAATCCAGGTCCTTCCCATGCAATGTCCTTTCACAAACTCAATAATTTGGACCACACCTTTCTGACAAGATCCAGTTACTCATGTTAGAAGCAAGTTTTCAGAACTGGTATTCTTAGTTTTGTGATGTTCAAAACTTGTATCCTGCTTTCAGCTGTTATGTCACACTAGTTGCTCACCTAGCTCTTGGAGGTTGTTGTGAGGGCAAGGTAGGTAATATTTGTAAATAGATTCACATCAGCTCATCTAGTCTTTGAACATCTTTGTTGTGAGCAGTTAGCAAGCAGGGTGATACAGTGACATTTGGTCTTGTCTTCCCCAGTACATTTGAAAATGCAAAATTACACTTTTTAACTTTCAGGGGTGCTGGGTTGTAGCCACGTTGGTCTAAGGATGGAGGCAGAAAAGGTTCTTTCGGTAAATGTGATATCTTTTATTAGACCAACTAAATATTTGGAAAAATTGTTATTTGCTAGCTTTCAGGTACAAAATACCCTTCTTCAGGCAGAGGAAGAGCCTTAAGTTTTGCATTTTTTTTTAACAGTTTGTAATCTTCTAAGATGTCAGGCTTCTAATTTTCAGTTCAATTTTGCAATAGTAACTAACTTGAATCCAGTGTTTAATTTCCATGTTGATTTTTTGATGTAAATGTTTAGGTGTTTGTCTACACTGTATCAAGATGCTGATTGGTCCCAAAAGGATCTTCAAGATGCAATCATCAGAGCCCGGAATAATGTATCAAATAGCAAAGCTGGGGCATTTTCTCCAGAACGACTGAAATACTATTTCCAGGAACTGAACTCAATGGAGAATGATGGACGCAAAGTCTCTTTCACAGACTTGTGGGGCCTTATTGTAGAGTATTTTCTGCAGCAGAAGGTAAAGAATTCTAGGCTTTGAAATGTCTTCTTACCTTCAAATAAGAAATTCAACATAGCCACTTATTGTGCATTTCCAGAATCTTATTTCTCTTTGGCTTTCTTTACATTTTTTAGAATTGTTTTGGAGATGAGAGGTGTTAAGGCACAAACATGAGGGTTTTTCACCTCACTATGCTTCAGTTTCCATATCTATAAAATGGGAATAATACTACCACCCCTTTAAAGCAGTTTGAGATCTACAGATGATGTGCAAGTTAGGTTTTTATTTGAGGTTATTTTGTTAGCCATTTACTTTATATTAAGGTTTAAAAAAGTGGAAAGATGCATTCAGTGTAGTTTTCAAAAAAAGATTTAGGCCGACACTGCTGTGTAGATGAAATGGCAAACTGGATTTTGATTAAAGCAGTGATTGGCTGGTGAAGAACACTTGGCTAGTTCCAAGTATGCTGGGAAACCTAGATGACGGCTACGCTTAAATGAAGAGGAACTTCAGAGCTAGTGAAACAGTTCTGGGCAAGAGTGGGGTGTGAGAGAGCCCCAGAATACAGGAGTGTGGGCACAGGTGCTTTAGTATAACAACAAAAAAGATGTTTTTCTTTCCTCCTTGTAACTAGGAAGACCCATCAAAGTTGTCTGATCAACAGAAAGCAGTGGAGTTGGCTCAGAATCCTTATCCTATCTATGCAGCTATCAATGTGAGACCCAATATTAGTGGTGATGACTTTGCAGGTATAAACAAGGCAGGTTTATTTTTCTAATTATAACATCTGTAAATCATTTCCTCCTACCAAAATGTAAACACTCTTTTCTGATTCCTTGAGGATTGGGTAATGAGAGATCAGCCAGTAGTTCATAACCTAACTCTTAGCATGATAAAGTGCTAATTCAGCTTCAGGATCTTCATACATTTTCCTCAGCAAAGATTGATTAAATTGGTTGCCCTAAATATTTTCATAGGGAGTGTCAAAATTCTTCAGCAGGTGTGAACAACAGTACACTACAAAAATAGTTCAACTTTATTTGTCTTGATCTTAGCACAGGGTAAATAAAGTGATCATTATTGATGCACTTTATTATTTGGGACCTGGTTGTTTTGTTCTTTTTCTGTAGTGTCCAATGTTTGATTTTATGTAGGATTCATGCATAACAATACGTTTTGAAAGAGGCATAACAAGGCAGTCGGGGACCAGAGAATGGCAGCTTCTGGTTGTCACTGTGCTGCCAGCAACTATTTTTTTGACCCCACCCCACCTAAATTGAGACTAGCATGTCAATGAATAAGAATAAGACTGAGATCTCAGTTGCCCTGCCTTAGTTACGTTACTGTGTTTTGGGAGGTTGGCAGCATATACAAGTTTCAAAGGTCCGTTCTGAGTGTAGTGGCCCTTTAGGCTAACATTGTTAAAGCTCACTGATTTCCAGAGCCAAGGAGAGATGTGGCTAGTATCATGTTCAGTCATCTTTTAACTTTTGAGCCTAAAATGACTGCATGCCTCTTTACTGCTGGACTGCTTGAGGGCAGCCATCCTCCTAAATCTGGAGTGAGGCCCTTAGGCATGCCTCTAGAGCCCCAGAGTTATCTAACTCTCTTTACCATCCTACCCCACTTCACACATAATACCATGATTATTTGTACTGTAGCAAAATTAGGGGGCCCAACAGTACTAGGACTGTTTTGTGCTAGGTGTTGTACAAACACAGCCATGAAGGATGCTGTCTGCTTTTAAAGGGTTTATAATCTAAAGCATTGTCTCTTAACCTTTTTAGATTCAAGGCACCCCTAGTTTGGCTTGAGGCACCCCTCAGAAAATTCCAGCTTTTACTTTTCACTCACTTTCTGACTGTAGAATAACAGAACCATTCTTTTGTTGCAAAGAACTCAGGAACACCACAGCAGCCCCATGTTTTTTTAACACAATGAATTCCTGTTTAAAATCTCTGGGTTCATCTTATGAATCATGTTTGCACACCCAGCAGTGCTAACATTGCATGGCATCTTGTGGCACCCTTGAAAGGATCTTAAGGCACCACAAGGTGCTGCAGCTGAGAAGCACTGATCTAAAGTAAAAGATAAGAAACAATAGAAGGGTAAGCTTAAGGAAATGATGGCATGATACCAATCAGTTGTTCCAGCACTGCAGTTGCTGAGCTGCTACCAGGCTTGTTGTAAGCATGCAAGATTTGATGGAGGGCAACAGAGAAGCTGTGAAGATGTTTCTGAGGAGCTTCTTCCAAAAGAGCCAAACCCAAAGGTTTTTATGTAAAGCTAATGAGGGGTGGTGGAAGCTGGCTCTGTGGGCCTGCTCTCTGGGCAATCAGCCTCCTAGGGGTCAATGAAAGAAGATGGCTAGCATGAGTCTAGCCTATGAAAGGTGTGAAAGTCAAGTCAAGTAGTTTGTATTTGCTGCAATAGAGAAGATCTCAGTGCAGGGTTATAAGGAGAAAGGGTGACAATCTATGTGATGAACCTGTCACTTTGAATTTGAGGAATAATCGAAGCGAGAGAAAAATAAGTTGAGATGCACAAGATAACGAGACCAGAGTTTTAGGTAAGGATACATAAAAAGACTATATTCTCAAAATGTTATATAGGAAGAATTGGCAGGATTTAGTGGAACTGAGAACCTAGAAAGAGAACAATATTTCTCTCTTCAACAGTGGTGTAACCCCAGTGGGGCAACTGTCCTGGTCATTGAGCTGAAGGTGTGGGGGTGAAAAAACACAGCAACACCAGTGGCAACTGGAAGTTGCTAATGCCCCGCGCTGTATGTGCCCAGCTGTGTTGCTGTCCCACTGATCTTTAGCAATACTCATGGCATCGTTTAGAACTATCTTAACTAGATTGTTCTTGCAAACCTACTAGTCTGAGTTGGGAGGTGATGTGGCCTCTGCATAGATTGCTAGACTGGGCTCTTTTTCCAGCTCTGTCACTGGAATGCTGGGTGACCTGGGGCACTCTCTGTGCTTCAGTCTCCTTATCTGTAAAATGACATCTTCTGATGATTAGTATTAAACAGGAGCCAAGGACATTTATAGCATCCTTAATTAATCCATTTTTCATGATAAAATAAATATTAGGCTTGAGTAAATGGCTCAAACAAATTTCAGAAAGTTTAGATGTTGGAAATATAAACAATTAATTATGGATTGAAGGTATGAGTAATGATGTGGCACACTGCTCAGTACTGACATGCTTCAATAACACTCTGTGCTGCTGTTTTAAAATAGTCACAAGCTGTTTCACACCTTAATGATTCAATCAATAAATATATGAAAACTTCAGTACTGCAAAGTATTTATCAAACCATCTAATTACTGAGCATTCTTATTCAGGTGCTTCACTACATGTTCATTATTAAGCATTTAAACCAGTGATTCTCAACTAGGGTGCCATGGCATTCTCGGGTACCTTCATGTCTTTTCAAGGGTGCATTGCAATGTTAGCAGTGTTAGGTATGCAAACACAATTCACAAGATAAACCCAGAGGAAAGTAGGCATCAATAACTTTAAAGCATTCTGACCTGTTGAAGTCATCTTCAGTTCTTTGCAACAGCAGAATTGCCCTGTTCTTTTCCTATAGTTAAAAAATGAGTGGAAACTAAGAACTAGCACTTTTGAAGAGGTGCCTTAAATCTAAAAAGGTTGAAAACTGTTGATTTAGACAGTCATACTGCTTCTACTGCCACCAGCGTGATAGACACTAAGAAATCCTAGCTCCTAGCTTCATTGACAGGGGCTATCTTTCCCATGGATCCTTCATGGAAGCACCTGAAATCTGTGACGTTCCTGTGCAGAACAGCTTTGCCAGTTCCACTGCATGTGTGATTCACTGACAGAAGGGGAAAAAATTTTCTGTGAGCACTGCTGGAAGAAACAGAGGGATGTTCTTCTTCAGTCATTTATATGTGCAGAGGTAAAGATGACTTGATTGCATTCCTGAGGTTGCCATTGATTTGCTGTCCTTGCTCTTAGAATGGTGTGAGTTCACTCCATATGAGGTTGGATTCCAGAAGTACGGGGCCTTTGTCCACACAGAAGACTTTGACAGTGAGTTCTTCATGGGCCAGCTAATCCAGAAACGTCCAGAGCCCAGGATTTGCTATCTACAGGGTATGATCTGAAATTAGTGGTTTGGAGGGGAAGATTAGAAACTCAGGAACATAAGCCCCTATCTTATTTTGTCCACGGCTGGAAAATTTGAAAGGTTAAATATGCCAGACTTCTCCAATGATTGCAAAAAAGTCCATCTATATGTTACCAAGTACAATCGAGACTTCCTTGGTCTGCAAGCAGACATCATGAAATAATAACATACCCCGTCTATACTGTTCATGTCAATTAGTTAATTTTGAAACCTGATGTTAACTGTTTTACTCCCTGTTATTTAAAGGTATCCTTTGCTCACTGGTGATTGTGGTGGTGAGGGTTAGGAGTGCTGGGGCTAGTGGAAATCAGTAGTTGTATACTAGCTGGCAGCTGCTATCTGTTTAAAAAATATACGGCAACACTGGAGTGGCATTATTTCTCTGCCTGACTTTCTGCTTTTCAGGCACGATCTCTGCTCAAAAGAGTACTATCCTTGGCAGAGAGAAGTGACCTATTATTGGCTAACCCCATTCCTCTGTGTGTAAAGAAGAGACCAATGGAATCAGTTGCCTAAGATCCCTGGGGAAGCTTATTTATCTGGGCTGCACTGTGGTCTCTGCTGGATGCAGATGAGTGTCAGGGCTTAAACCAAGAAGTTTGAGGACAGTTGGGTGCTGAGGGATGGGATCTTGAATTGAAAGATAAGAAATTTTTTTTTCTCCTGAGAATGAATTTCTGTAAATGGCTGCCAGGATCGAAAATACAGAAATTAGGTTTTTGCTAGGTTTCACACATTTGCTAGTCCCCAGATGAAGAGCATATGAGGAACAGTGCTTCTCAACAGCTGTAGCTTATTTAAAATACAATATTCTTCTTCACATGATGCAGTCAAGGTTAACCAGTAGGGTTAAGCTATTTTAACAATAGTACAGTCTCTTGGATCTTATCTTAGAGCAGAGGTGGCCAACCTGTGGTATGGGCAGCCCCTGTGTGTAGCGTGTAGCAGCTTGGTGAGGAGGAAGGCAGCACAGTGGCAGATGTGGTAGGGAACAAAGCAGAGCTGTGGATTGGCAAGAGAAGGGGATAAGAATGGCGCTTGGGGAGGGTGCAGGCCTAATTTGTGCCATGGCTACTAAAAAAGGTTGCTTCCCCCTATCTTAGAGCATGGGAGATGTTGCAGCAATGTGTCCATGGTAGTGTAGGGTATGTTTTCCCCATTTGTTACATTGCAGTATGCCACGTAGTCAGAGTCCGGTCAGATGTCAGAGGGACGCTTCTATGAGCTGTGGTGACTCTATGAGTAGGGGTCTACCTAAACTGCAGCGAGACGAAGGAATTTTTATGGTCTGCTCGTGCTGTGTGGAGCTTATTTCATGGTCTTTTTGTGACAAGCCCCCCTCCCCCCACATTGGCTGAGGAGCCCCAGAGGCTCCGCCTCTTGCTGCTGATTGACTGAGAGGCCAGTCAGTCATCTTCAGACTGCAGCATTGCATCTGGCTTCTTAAAAGATGGCACTGAAGCCCTTTCACTTTCCCAACTGGCACCTTCACTGAGTCTGTCTCTAGCTCAGCCTCTTAGTAGCTCTCTCTCAAACATCATGCTCTAGGGTTCCAGGGATTGCTGCACTTTCTTTGTATTTCAGTAAGCTTTTTTTTTTTTGTGTGTGTAACTCCACATACAATCGCAGAAAACACCATTTTTCATGGTGATTGTGGAAACTGTTGTTTTTTCTAGTTTTCACGAAAATCGTAAAACCGCAATTCATGGTTTTAGATCAGGGGTTATTGCTAACCTTAGCTGCTTGTGTGTTTATTATAGAAAGATGTTTTTGAAGGTTGCTGTGTAGTGCACATGCTGTGCCTGTCTGGAGGCAGTGATCAGCAGCCCATTAGGCCTTTCCAGCAAATGCACTGGGTTTGGGAAGCTTATTTGTGGTATCAATGCTTCCTTGTCTCTCTTGCCCTCACCCCTCCTTCTCTCTGCAGGAATGTGGGGAAGTGCCTTTGCTGCAAGCCTAGATGATATTTGTCTGAAAGTAGTTGGCATGGGCCTTAGCTTTCTAGAGCCTCTAAAAGATGTCATCAAAGTCATAGGTAAGAAAGTCCAAATACCTGTTTAGTAGTTGCTTCCAGAGGTCTTGATTTTTTCAGCAAAATCACATGACATTCATATATCAAAATTGAAGAAGTCCTTTATCGTTTTCAAGGGAAGAGTAGGGGTGGTGGAGCTGGAAAATTAAAACCACCCGAGTCCCACTGTCTCCTATCATGGAGCGTCTCTCAGAAGGACATGCACTGCTTATTGTCCTTCATGCTGTGTAGCATATAGAACCTACAAGGAAGTGTCTCTGCTCCTTTGTCAGCCTCTCTTCTTTCTAAAATTGACATGCTCGTCCATACTTCTTCATTTCTCTCTCTCCTATGCTTTGCCATGTCTCATTGGGCCGCCACCTTTTCCTTTTTTTCCTTATGGTTTACAATGATTATTCAATACCTGCATTCTCTCTCTCTTGTTTAATATTTGTTCTTAAAGGCAACACTGTGACTATAATCTTTGGCAATGCCTCTTTGAGGTAGGAACATATTACTCATGGTTTTAGTTTTACAGATGGGGACCTGAGGTTCAGAAGTGCAGAGAGGTTAGGTGACCTGTCTAAGGTCACACAGAAAGTTTGTAGATCTGGGAACGGAACCAGATCTGAATCCCAGTCCAATGCCTTAACTGAAAGGACAAGAAGAATGCTCCAGTGCTATTTGGAAGACCTAACTTCATTCCCCTACTAAGTTGTTGATATTGTGTACAACTCTTGAATCATTTTGTCTCCCTGTGCCTTAGTTCCTCAACATGTAAAATTTCTCAGAGGGTGCTAAGAGAATAAATTCATTAACAATTGTCAGTTGTTCATTTACCCTGATGATAGGGGCCATATAAGTCCCATAGGTAGACTTTCTTTCTCTGTGTTTGTCGATTTCACCATGCTACTTCCCACTGCAGGTATAAGAACATCATAGTGAATTCTGAATGTTTCATGGTGACCATTGTCCCCTTGTGCAACAGAATCCGTAAGATCACAAGTTGGCAAAGGTTTCACTGAAATGAGTTAGAAATTATTGCATGACTCATGCAGGTCAACCTAAATGAGATATGCATATTATGAAGCTTGAATATGTAATTAAGTAGATTGGACTTCATTCTATTGTGCCCAGATGCTTTGGGTGGGGACCAGAGATGGGGGAGTGGGAAAAGACTTCCATCAATAGATTAAACTTTTGTAGGTGAATAGATTTGCTGCTTAATGTTGGATTTGGATAAGTATGCTTTGAAATATATTCTGATAATTTCTGTGTTCTTCCTAGATGACTGCCGAAGATCCCATTTTCGGGACCCAACACGGTTAAAGACTCGTCTAGTTATACCAGGGGGACCCTTGCTACAAATTTTTCAGGATTTCTTCAAGTCCCGTTTCACCAGTGGTGAAACCTTCAACTTCATGCAAGGGCTGTATCTTCACAGGGATTATGTCAACATCAAGAAGTTTGTGGCCTGGAAAGGTAGCTATTCATGAAAGAAATTGGGCTGTGTTTTGAATATTCAGTTAGTATTTTAAAATCATGTGTTACTTTACCACATGGGGAGAATGTCCTCCTAGTGTAAGTTTGGTTCAGCTTCACTGAAATCAATGGAGTGCTGCCTATTTATACTGCAATAGAAGATTTGACTCAGTCAGTCTGAAAAATTGTCTGATACGAAGTAGCAGGTGGTAGACATCTGCTTTCTGCTTTGCTTCCTCAATATCCAGAAGGCAGACCTGATTTTGATGTGGGACTATAGCATGTGTATTAAATAATTTTTCTAAAAGTTTCAGTGGCTGCTTCATTTGCTTGTTTAGGTGAAGGGTAACTAGAAGTGTTTTGATAACTAATGTAACTTCTTGGGGACCTTTCAGGCACTCATCTGGACGCCTTCCCCAACCAGCTGACTCCCATGGAAGACAGCCTGTATTTGGTAGATGGTGGCTTTTCTATAAACTCTCCCTTCCCATTGGTGCTCCAGTCAGAGCGTGATGTAGATGTTATTGTCTCATTCAACTATTCCTGGGAAGCTCCATTTGAGGTGAGATCTGAGCCCAGTTAGACAAAGGGAAAAGCATGGGACCGTATATTAGTAATGGTTATGTGAAGCAGTCATAGATGTTTTGACATATGCTCTTTTATGGAGAAAATACATATTTTAGCAAGTTTATGGTCACTTAGATCTTCAACTGTCACATCACACACTTCACTGTGAAATTCATACTACAGCATAACTCCACATTTGGAACTTCACAGTGACATTGGTGATTTGAATTCCACTCTTTCTGCTTGAAAAAAGCATAAACTGCTATTACTTCATCTAATGGAAGACTCTTTTGGCAGTATATGTAGTATGTAATTGTGCAACTCTAATTCTTCAGCAAAATGCATTATTAGGTGAGCAAGCAACGGGGATAGTTGTTTATTATTCTCCTCGTGCTGTTTGTGGATCAGGCAAGTGTGTGTTTTAAAACATTTTTTAACATAGCCAAATTCAGCATATGTAAGCTTAAAAAGTTGATTTGAATTTTTAGCAAAGTATGCTAGATATAATCTGCTTATTTCCAACTATCTCATCAATGTAAATATTGGTTCTAGTAAGACATTTCTCAGCGGCTGTCCACTATACGTTTATAGAAGTGGAGATCCATGAGATTTAGTAATAACAGTTGTTCCATCATTTCATAACAAACTACTTATTTTATTGCTAGAAACAGGTAATAAAACAGTATCCCATTTTTCTACAAATGTGTCAGATGATATATTTCTAACATTCCAATGTTACATTTGCATATTAATTACAGAAACATTGTATCATTTGGTTTTATTGAGGAAAGAAATCAGAGTGTCTTCTGAAAGTCTCCTTTCAAGTTTAACTGTGAATGTGGATATACAACATTTCTGTAATTTTCAAGTGTGTAGTTCATTTATAATACTTCTAGAAAAACAGATGTATACCTCAGGCACCAGCTGGGAATTTCCTTTGTTTGAATTAAATGGAAATGAAATTGAAGTGTGCCTTTGAGAGAGTTTTAAAGGTGATGCAGTGTTTAGATATTAGCTTATTGTTTACATTTCCCCCCCTTTGTGTCAGAGCCAATGGCTGCTTGTACATGTGCTGGTTCGTGTTCTAAATAGAAAGCTCCAGTGTGGCCTTATCGTCATATGTGTCAATTCCCGTGTGTTTAAAAATGGCCGCTGGAGCACTTTTCTCTAAACCTCATTGAATGAGGTTTAGGTAAAGCATTCTGCAGCCATTTTTAAGCCCTTGGGAGCATAATACATGCAACGGTGAGGCATTTTAATTAGAGTGGCTCTCTGGGAACTGCTCTAATTAAAACACTTCCTCCACCCCCAAGCATGTGTATAGGCAGCCAATGGTTTAAAATTCCTCAGAGGGCTGGAATAAGGGCTAGAATTTCACCATATAAGTATTGTATAAATTGTATAAAATTTATAATACAATATAAATACTGTATTGCTCATTTGCATATTTCTCTGTCTCTCATGTTATGCTGTATTTTGGCTTTTGTTTGTTCTGTTTCCTTGAGGAAACTAAATTAATCTTTTCCCACATCATTCATTCCTCATTTTAATCATTTTATCTGTTTAGACAGATGCTGGGAATGAAAGATGTTTGGGATAGAAATAATCTAGGGAAACTGACCCAAAAGTCAGATAGGCAGGCAGTAAACAGGGTGCAGGCATACAATGCATTTATTCTGGGCTGTTGTCAATTTCCTCTGGAGATAACACGTGACACGTAGCACTTATGCCAGAGAAAATGCTGTTCTCAAATATAGTTACTTCTGAGGAGGCAAGATGTATATTTACTCCAGAAAAAGTTATTCCAGTGTGTTTTATGTCTACTCCAACTGTGTCACTTTGATGCTGGAGTAGCTATTTTTTCTATGTAAACTTGTTTCCATAGCATTTAGGAGTCAAGTCCTATTGCAGTGAGCACACAACTCACTGAATAGATTGGTTTTTAATGCTTTTGCTATTGTTTTGTATCAGAAACAGTAGTGTAACTAGGGCCGGATCAGTGGGGCACCAGCCCTAATTGTGGCTGCCCACTTTAGAGGTGATACCAGCAGCAACTCTCCATATTCTGCACTGTCCCGCTCTGCCACTCAGTCTTCTTCCCTGTTCCTTGTGCATGTTCCTTTCCAGCCCGCCCCCCACACCCTTGCTCTTTAGCACTTGATAGCATTGCTGACTAGGGGGCTGAAATTTTTCACTAATGCCCTCTCTCTATGCATTATGGTTAGACGTAGCTGAAATAACTCTTAACATTTGTTTTCTGATCATAGGTCTTGAATTTGACTCAGAAATACTGTGAAGAACGGGAAATCCCCTTTCCAAAAATCATCTTGAGCAAGGAAGATGAAAAGAAGCCAAAGGAGTGTTATATGTTTATGGATGATGAGGACCCAAAGGCTCCTATAGTGCTTCACTTTCCATTGGTGAATGACACGTTCCGGAAATACAAAGCACCAGGTAAGGGAGAGTGCGTGCAGATTCTTTACAGCATTCAGGTATGCTTAGCTAGACAGAGTGTTGGGACTGCCTGGACATTCCTAACTGTAAAAGCTCGACTCTTTACCATTGTTAGTTTCCTTTAACTTAATAAACTGCTATCTTCTTACAGCCAGAACAGTAACAACTTTGTTATCTGTCTCAAAAGCTGGTTAAGGGGTGGAAGAATCTAGCTAGATACTTACTTGTTTATCTGTGAACTAGTGGCTGCCCCATGGAATATTTTTGCCTTGTATGATGGTTAGCAGTAACCTAATCTTTATGGTTTAAAATTTTTCATTTGGTGGCATAATGGTACTTGTATTTGCATTAGGAGGACTGAAATAATATCTTAGCTTTTGCCCCAAACCTTGTAATTTAGGGTTTATGAGCCATGATTCCACTTGAGAATACAAATACCTCTTGTCTACTAGCCCTCTAAGATCCATTTTAAAATCAAGTTTAGAAAGCATAGAAAATATGGGGCTTTCTTTTAAACATATCTAAGGACCCCTGCCCACTAGGTTATAAGTTTTTCCTTCTGACACATGGTTACTAACATGTCTCTTACACACTAGCTTCAATAGGGTCTCTTGGATTTACTGCTGGGATGTTAAACACTTTAATTACTATGATTTTAAAAAGCAAATGTGTTACTACTTCAGTTATGCTTTAGGGTTGTTGGTTGTAGCTGTGTTGGCTATGTCCATCTAAGGACATAGGTAGACACGGTTCTTTGGGTAGATGTGATATCTTTTATTAGAATAATTAAATAGTTGGGAAAATTGTTCTTTGCAAGCTTTCAGGCACAAAAATCCTTCAGGCATAGAGAGAGTCTGCTGGTGAATTGTGTGCTCTCCCGGGTAGAATAGGAGCCAATCTGTAAAATGCAGGTCTGTGAAAATGCAAATGCATGGCAATGAGGATCAGAGGGATGGGAGACAATAGGTGTGAGACAGAGCCAGCAATCACCCTAAACATACCAAAAAAGCTGTAATTTACAGCCAAGCTCTTCCATACCATCAAATTTGCATTGAGGAGAATACCGGTGGTCATCACCTCACAAATCTTAACAGGGCTTTCACCCAACAATGACACCCTCCAGAGAGAGAGATGATATTTTTGAAACAGCCACCTGGTTGTCAAATGAAGAATTGCTGCAGTACAAAAAGAAAATCCTCATGAATTGCACACCATTAGTTATGACTTGACATCCTTCCCTGGAACCTAAATAGAAAATCATCAAACAATTCTGACCCATACTAGAAGAAGACCCAGTTTTTAAAGAGGTCTTTCCAGAACCACCCATTCTAGCCTTCAAACAATCACTGACCCTCACCAACCTCATCACCAGAAGCAAACTTCTTATGGCCCAAAGCACACCAAGTGGATCCAGACCATGCCAGGACAAGAAGTATAAAACCTGCCAACACATCTCCACGGCTCCCGGAATAACTACACCCCACAACAGAACCATCACCATTCCTGGATCTTACACCTGCACCTCCAGAAATATAATACATCTCATTCAGTGGATCAAATGCCCTGATGGAAAATATGTAGGAGAAAGCAAACAACAACTGCACACCAGAATGAATGCACACTGGAAATCTGTCAAGGACAAAAATACCCAATTACCTGTGGGTGCACATTTATCACAAGAAAACCACTGTCTCTCTGATCTCTCAATTCTAATCCTCAAAGGGAATTTACAAAACATCTTTTGTAGATGAGCCTACGAACTTCACTTAATAAATCTACTGGATGCAAAAAATCATGGACTAAATATAGAGATTGGATTTATGGCACATTATAACTGAACTCCAGGTGACCTGTCTGCAATTTACCGCCTACATTCCTGTATCATTAGTGCACCATTCCCCCCCTCCCACCTGTCTCTCACCTATTGTCTCCCATCCTTCCGATCCTCACTGCCATGCATTTGCATTTTCAAAGACCTGCATTTCACATATTGGCTCCTATTCTACCCTGGAGTGCACACAGTTCACCAGCTGACTCTCTCTCTATGCCTGAAGTAGCATGTTTGTGCCTGAAAGCTTGCAAAGTACAATTTTCCCAACTATTTAATTGTTCTAATAAAAGATATTACATCTACCCAAAGAATCTTGTCTGCCTTACTACTTTCAGTAACAGTTTAGTAATTTGACATTGTCTGCCAAGGAGAGACAAAACTAGCCGGAAGAATGACCCAGATTCAATACATGTTTAGTTATTCTGAGACTTTCTCTGCTGTATCCCATTAAAAGGTTTGAGGAAAACCTTCAGAATTCATTTTTTCTCTTGCTACAGGAATAGAACGGGAGTCAGAAGATGAGAGATCCTTTGGTGACTTTGTCATTGAGAATAAAGACTCTCCCTATCGTACACTAAACTTTACCTTTGAGCCATATGATTTTGATAGGCTGGTGGGAGTGAACTGCTACAACGTTCTGAATAACAAGGACACACTCTTCAAAGCCCTCCATTTGGCTCTGCACAGGAGGAAGTTAAAGAAGGGCATCAGGACCTAAGAATCTTCTTGGTGTGGGATACAAGTGGACTGTGATGCACCAAAGGTATATGGTTCAAACAGCAACACTGAGGCTGTGGCTGCTGCAAGCTACCTCCTTGAATGGGAGAGGCACGCATAGCACTGAAAACTTACTACAGATATGGTGGAAACCTTTCTCTTTCTCTCCCTCTCCCACTCTTCTGTGCCTTTACAGAGTTTGCAAAGCCCAAAGAGATAACAGTAATAGTTCTTTTTTACCAAATGCACGTTCAGATTCACTTACCTATGTGTGTTTTAGGGAGAATGAAATTCTTCTCTTGGTGTTTGCCACAACCACAGGTATAATGGTGTTCTAGACACATTTGTTCTATTCAGTGACCCATGTAAGAGTTGACATTGGGATGTCAGGTGTGAGATGTTGGTAGAATCCAAATCAAACACTATGGCAAGGTATGGAGGAAGAATTTGGTTTGCTAACAGAGTCCTATGTTTTGAGGCCTAGATAAAGTGGGCTCATTATTCTACAGCCTAATTCAAGCATCTAAGCCTAAAAGGTTTTTATTTCTTTCTTTTTAATATCTGCTTCATGTAATGTTTTAAAGTGTTCAGTGTTTGGACTATGAAACCTTTAAACAGGTTGGGTGGGTGATGGGAACAGCTATGGGCACTAAAATGGCCTCACAGTATGCCAACCTTTTTATGAGCCATCTGGAAGAAGACTTCCTTAAGAACTGCACCATCAAATGGTTGCTATACTTAAGATACATCGATGACATCTTCATCATTTGGACTGAGAACCTGCAATCTCTGATTGAGTTCAACCAGAAATTCAACAGTCACCATCCCTCCATCCAACTTTCTTTAGAATACTCCAGCACCAACATCTCCTTTTTAGACACAATGATCAGTATCCAGAAGGGTAAAATACAGACCACAGTATACAAGAAACCCACAGACCAACATACATATCTGCACAGAACCAGCAATCACCCTAAACACACCAAAAAAGCTGTGATATACAGCCAGGCCCTCAGATACCAACGCATTTGTACTGAAGAGAACACCCGGGATTGCCACCTCACCAATCTTAAAAAGGCTTTCACCCAGCAAGGACACTCCTCCAGAGAGGTAGATCGCACATTTGAAAGAGCCACCTAGATACCACGTGAAGAACTGCTGCAGTACAGAAGAAACCCCCCCACAAATCGCACACCACTGGTTATGATGTATCACCCCTCCCTTGAGCCTGTACGGAAAATCCTCAAAAAATTGCAACCCATATTAGAAAGAGACCCTATTCTTAAAAAGATCTTCCCAGAGCCACCCATCCTAGCCTTCAAACAAGCACCGAACCTCACCAACCTCATCACCAGAACAGGGTTGAGTTTGACCATTTGAGTTGGTCTAATAAAAGATATCAAATTCACCCAAGGAACCTTGTCAGCAAACAGAGAGTGCTTTTCTAGGTGTTTCTAGAGCAGTTCCACTTAACAGTCCTCTAGCGAAGTTGGGGAAGGTGCTGGGAATTTTCGGTAAAGAATCCTTGACTCTGAAAATTGCTTCCCTCCTGCCACTACAACCTGGTCCACAAGACCCTTTGATTTTTGTGCAGGTTTTGTGAGAACTCATCTACTTTCGCAGAACTTCTTATGGAAGATGAAGGGAAGGTGTTTGAAAGAGGTTGGAATGTAGGCTGTTTTTTAAAGTTGGCTAGATTTTTTTGAGGTAGTATGTTTTTAAGAGATTTATAAGATGATTTTACTAGAGTGTTTGTGTTGGAGGAAGTCTGTGATGCATCTAGTTCTCAAGATGTAGGCAACTTATAAATGTGAAGAAATAAAATGAATGTGAGATGCTGCTGCCATGTGAGATGGAATTGCTTTACTTTGCTCTACAGTCTAATTGAAACAACAAAGTATTTGGGAATCTCTGCTGTTCACGTGTGTGGCATTTACTCTGAACTGAATGTGCTGACTCCACATTTGAACTGTCATGCTGGGAAACTGATGTCTCACTCAGAAATGAGTTAGTTTATTGTTTTTGTTAACTTTTAAGTCCTCCATTTCTAAAAGCAACAAATAAATGGAACTGTCCCCCCCCCCCCCCCCCAAAAAAAAAAACAACAAAACCCCAAACCAAACCAAAATGAATAGGGAAATATAGAAAATGCACATTTGCTTAATGTGCAAACTGCTTCACTTTGAGGCCACATGATTGAAATGAAGATTTTTTTTTCTTTGTTGACTCTTGCTTGTTCAATTTAATGGTAGTGTTTCTCCCATCTTCAGTTAAAGCATTTGTCAATCAAAGGTAATTAATTAGTTAGAATTCTACCTCCAGTATTACATAGCACCTCTTCATTATTACATCTCTAATAATTTTACAGAGGTCATTGTCATTATCCCTATTTTACAGATAAGGAGACTGTAGTGCAGAGGGGAGAGTGACTGACTTGCTCAGGGTCATTTCTTAGGCTAACCTGGAATGGACCCTGGTTGTCCGATGTACCAGTTCAGTGCTCTGTTCTTCATACTGCTCAAAAATAAGAACAAATGTAAGCAATACACACTCCAGGGGTCATGCATATGTGGGTTCAGAAAACTTGAGAGCTACAGGAGCTGTTAAACTTTCTTGCTAGCTGTCACCTCCTCAACTCTTATTTCTTTTCTCTAGCTGAGGCATAAGAATCAGCAATTCACTGCTGCTTTTTATTGTATTCAACACCAATAAGCTATTTTCTCTAAAGGATTTGGAACTTCTTGTAGCCCAAGTAACTTGGGTATATACTCCCCTTCTCCAATTGAGGGGGATTGTTAGCTGGCAGATGTGCTGCGGGGGAATTGCAGACAGCTCATTTTCCCTCGGTCCCTATAGAACCAGGCCAGGACAGTCAGGGGCCTAAAGTTAATGTAAATAAATGTGAATATAGTTATCACAGGAAAAGAAACATGGATATAAACATATGTTCTCTCTCTCTCTAGATATATCTCTAGATAGATATATTCAACACCAATATAGCTTATTGAATTATATATATTTAAACAAATAACATAAACAATACCCTCTGGGTAAATGCCATAAAACCTTATATCAGTGCTCCAGATACAGGTAAGTCACAGGTAAGTATCTGATCTGAAATGGATAAACCCCCAAATAAACAGATAGCCAACAGATAAACTATAGATAAGTATGGGTGAACAATAAATAAGCCACAAATAAATACAAATAAACAACAGGTGAAATGATAACAACAGGGGGTCCCAGCAGAGCCCTGGGACTTTACTCATCTCCTAATTTACAACATGAGAGTTCACAAAATATAAGGCATGACATCACACCACTTATGGTGCAAGAACCCCAAAGATAAACTCAATCCCGAGGGGAAACCCCAATGCCCTTGGGCTTTTCCCAAGCCCTATAAGGAAGCTGGTAACTTTAGGTGGGCCCTCCCCTTTCAGAAACCTTTAACTAACCAGGGGGGACTCCCGTTCCCCTGTGGGAATCCTCTTTTCCCTGAAACTCACAGCTCCCAGGCCTGGAGGGTGGCCCTTGTCCTCTGAGCCAAGCTGCTGTCTCGCCTGCTGTGGGCTTCGGGGGGGTCGCTGTCCCCTGGAACAGGGCACCACTATGCAGGGCTTCTGGGGCCTCTGGCTCGGCCCTGTCTGCTGGCTCAGTAGCCCAAGCACCATCTGGCTCCCTGGACTCAACCTTTTGCTATGGGTCGGCAGCCTGGGCTGCCTCATGCAGCACCAGGCTCGGTCAGCTCCCGGGCCCTCCCTGCAGCGCCTCCTGCACTGACCTCCCAGCCTCGTTCCAGGGGTTGAGGACCTGAGCTGCCCAAGTGCTCCAAAGGTCCTACTCCATGCATTGCCCTGTGCACCGTGTCTCTGGCCGCATGTCAGAGGTTGCAAACCTGAGCCACCTCACGCAGCTCCCAGGGTCTGGACGCTGTGCACCGTGCTGCACACTGAGAGCCTAGCTGCTGGAGTCATCTGCCATTCCCCGCTGATGGAAGTCTTCAGGGGCGCTTCTGGGCTACTGCTTCACTCTGCTGAGCAGCTCTCCTCAGCTCTTCTAACCCTGTTCTTCTCTGTCCTGGATGTGCTCTCCTCGTGCTGGGCGCATAGTTCCTTTTATATGCTCTAGGGCTCCGCCCCTGAAGTCTTCCGGACCTGAGTGTTGCAGTCTTCAGTCAGGTCTGGGAGTGGGGAGCTGGGGAGGAAACTCCTCTCCCCTTCCCCTCAGGAAAGGGGCATGACTTAACTGCTCTTGCTGCCTCCTGGTTGATGGATGAGCTCCACCAATCAAAACAGCAACAGCAAGATTTCAAGCCTGGGACTCAACCCAAGCTCCAAAAGGCAAGTCTGCTACATTCTTATTGCTCGTTCTTGTTAATAAAATGTTCAATATTTTTTTTCCTTGTGCTTTCTGCATGGGTTTGCAAATATTCTTGGCTCAGACCTAGTACAGCCTGAAACAAGTTGTGTGTTTTGACAGGGTGGGTAATAAGTCTCACCCTTCCAGCTAAAACCTGCTGCTGCTTGTGTGAATCTTCAGTGAACCAAAGTTCTTCTATTTATTGGTTTTCCCTTTCTTCCAGGAGGCACTTGGATGTGACAGAGGTAGAAGATGATATATCCTCCTAGATATAAATAGGAAGTACATTAGTACTGCTCTCTAAAACTAGCTTTCCCCAAATTTCTAGATACATATCACACTCCAACCAATGCCCAACCTTTCCTTAAACTTTCCTGGAGTAACAGGACTTGGTCTGAATGGAGGAAAGAATCCCTTATCTGCTGCTAAATCAACACAGAAGCATCTCCTCTATGACTCCAACTCTTCACAGTTCCCAAAATAAATCCTTCTTTTCAATTTTTGACTGGGCCAAGAAACTCTCTGCATTGTCACTGTACCACACATACTTTCCTTTCTCTTCCAGTACTTCATGAGCATTCCCTTTGAAACTGGAAGTCATGGTGCAAGGCAAGAGGAATGTTAAGAGGCCGTGACTTCACTTTGTTAATAATTATCTTTATATTGAATGGGAGCAGAATTCAAAGTCCTTGCAAGGTGTCTCTAGTGGTGAAGACAATGGAGTGGAGCCTAGGAATGGTCTATAGTCACTTTGTTTTATTGTCATGTGCACACACCTAGTTTAACAACTTCAGGAGATCAAAAATTGAGTCTGAACCAGGAATTAGTGAGATTAAAGAAATCAAATAGTGGTTTTTTTCTTTTTGTTTTGCTTTTCCCTTAAGCCCCCTTTACTCCTTTGCCAGTGCATGTCTGATGATTTTATATTGAAAAGACTACCTTTTTAATGCAAATAAAATGCATGCCTTCCCCTAGCTGCTCAAACAGATTTCACTTTCTTTCTGCTCACCCTAAGACAGGGAAACTGCTATCTATTTCCTTTTACTATCCTGACTTCTCCTCTACTTCTCTTTCTGTGCCAGGGTTATAAAATGGAGCTAGAAGATGAACAATGAACACAAGACATATAAATCACTAACTCTATGTACCAAGATTTTATGTGAACTGCTAAGAGAAGGGGAGCAGAGCCTGGATGAGGCGGGGCAAGAAGCCATTAAGGGATGGGAAAAACAGGTTTGGAAATGAACTGGGAAAGAGCAGTAAAGAAGACTGAGATCAGATGATGGGAATGCAGTTAATAGGAGCTGGCCCTGGCTGGGTATTACATTAATTTCATATCATTCTCGCAACCACAATGGCTATATATTGTTTTCTGACCCAAATGTGTTACCTACAGCTGTGACTGCTGCAGGTAATACAGAGTGTGGTACTGTACTTGGACTGGCTTATCTTCCTTTGTTGATTTTATTTCTTGTGTTTTTGACCATGAATTTCCTGGGACAAGAGCTATCTTTATAATGTTGTACGTGGGGACCTAGCACAACAAGGCCCCTGGAGGCATTTCAGTATTACAAGTAACCAGTGCTAACAAAGGTTTAATAACTCATTTGCCTGCAGTTATATGGTGAGTCTGTGACAGAGCTAGGTATGGAATTCTTCTCATCTGACTCTTTGTTCTGTGTATTCTTTTTTCATAAAAAACAAAGCCTACTTCCCCATCTTCCCCTACTTCCTTTTTTTCAAATGTTCAATCCAAAATCCATGTCTCTAAAATAGGGCTGTCAATTAATTGTAGTTAATGTGTGAGATTAATGCATTAATTGGTACTTGCCTTAATTTTTTAATGCATTAATTGTGCACATGGCTTCGGAGCCCATGCCTGGGTTCTGCTCTGCCACCATCACTGCTGCCTCCAGGCCACTCAGTGGGGCAGTAGTGACAGTACAGAAGACCGCAGGGCAGCCTGAGTGCAGGCTTTGGGTGGCTGCAGTGGGGGTAAGAGTGTTACACAAATTGCCAATCACTCAAATCACAAGCGAGACCTTACGAGGGAGGATAAGGCAATATGCTGTGTTCATTGATTAAGCGCTTATGCACGCACGCGCACACCCAGTTGATTACAAGTAGAAGTCGGGCTCCTGCCAGTCCATCTCATCAGAGAAACCCGTGCTCCAGGATGACATGCAGAACAAGACCCAAAATTGATATGTCTTGTCCCATCTTTTATACTCTTGTCAATCCACCCAGTCCTTTAGGCTTTTGCTGTATTATCACTGGGTTCTTTCTTGAAGGTCAATTGCCATAGTTCTCTTGCTGTTCTGGGGTGGATTCTTCTTGTTTGGTCTTTTATCTGTCTGTATTCTTCAGCCAGTCACCAGCTGATGTTTTCCTTTTCCACAGACACATTCTCACCCATTCTCTCACACATACAGCATACAGAGGTTTGAACACTTATGTCAAGCTACAGAGCAATGCAAAACAGAGTTTCTTAAGGCAATGCAAAACTCAAGAAAATACATAAGATTAAAAGCAATAGGCAAAAAGTCTATTTGTATAACAAGAGGGGGTGTGGTGCAGGTGTGTATGCATGCACGCCCAGCAGGTAAGCCTGTGGAGGGACAGTGGGGAGTGGGGACAGATTGAGGCCTACACAGTAAGGGAGGGAGTGGGGCAGGGGCTGGGGTGAATGGGGGCCTGGGGCCGGGGTGGGTTGTGGAATGCAGCTGTGGGCAGATCGTCTGGGGCACAGTGGGGGAGTGGCTTCATGTCACTGCACACACCCCCAGGGGTGCCTGTGCGTGGTGCAGAGGCAGGCTGCCTGCTGCGGGCTGGAGCTCTGTGCCCTGCTGCCTTTGCCCCAGGAGCTGTGTGACACCATGTTGTGCCTCCTGTGGCTGGGTAGGCAGCCAGCACACGACTCCTGGGGCAAGGGCAGTGGGGCACAGAGCCCCAGCCCACAACAGGCAGCCCACCTCCACCCCACACACAAATCCAGGGGCACGTGGCCCCCAAGCCTCCCCAGGGGGTACATGCAATGGTGGGGAGTGGTGTGCACTCCCCATACTCCTGGACAAGCTGCCCATGGCTCTGTCCCACAATCCTCCCTGGCCCCATTTGCCCCTGTCCCTGCCCCACTCCTTCCCTTACTGTGCAGGCCTCAGTCAACCCCCTGCCCCTTCCTTCCCCGCACCCCTCCTTCCACAGACTTAGCTGCTGGGTCCTGTGTGTGTTTTGTGTGTGTGCATGTGTGTCTGCCTCTCGCTCCCAAACAGCCCCCCAGCCCTGCTGCTGCCCCTCACTCCTAACCCCCAGTATCCCACATCCTGCCAGGAAGTGCCTGGGTCCCTGCTCCCCAGGCTCCAGCCCCCTCCCCCCCCCCACCTTCCCAAATTCCTCCTGACACTCACCCACCATACAAAGTACCTGCATAATTTTACATAATTTTGAGTTTTTCTGCACGTAATTTTAAAACTTTAGCTGTGAGACGAAAATCGTGATTAATTGTGACTCATTTTTTTTTAATTGCACAACTAGTTGCTATCAAATATTTGAATCGTTCCACAACCCTAGTTTAAATCCACTTGGAAGAAAAGTCCAAACCGTCTAAATATGTCAATAGTTTTTGTGTGGACAATTGCATAGCTGGGGATTTGCATGTCATCCTCACATTGTTGGACTCTTAGCAGTTTATCAGTGTGCTGAATGTCATGTATGCAGTCGTGTTTTCCTGTACTTGGGGAATTAGCTTGTGCTTGGCCTTGGACCTCCGGCAATTGGAATCTGATCTCCAGTGGAAATTCCGGGAGCCCCCGTTGGAATGTACCAACTGGCTTCAGTTAGAGGAACAGAAACGTCAGGTACGAGTAGACCAAGAAATCCAGTGTTTTATTTGAAAAGCTTAGTTGGCTGCTTGGATCTCCTCTTTTTTATCCTTTATTACTATGGGGGGGGTTGTATTTATTATATTTTATTATTATATTGTTTTGTTACAGTGGCGTTTAGGGGTCTCATTTAGGTATTGGGGCTCCAGTGTACATGGTCTAGCACAATTATACCAGAAAGGGTCCCAGCCACAAAGAGCTTAGACTTATCTGACAGGAAGTGAACAGGGCAGTACTGCCAACAGGCAGGGGTGCACAAAGCCACCATAAAAGAGAAACAAAGCAGCACAGAATGAGAACAGGGAAGTTCATATAAAATGTATTTAAATAGTATTGTCATGATAATAATTCTCTCTTGCCAGGAAATTTAATAGTTTCAGTTATGTTTCACCTATTGCTTGTGTTTCCATCAAAAAATGTGTGTAATGCTTTATAGTAAACTAAGACTTGGTCCCCATCCCATGTGCTGTGTTTATAAGCAAAGGATGGGGGTGGAGTGGAGGAACAGGAGTAACCACGTGGGAAAAAGATCAAGAGTTGAGATGACGTACATATCTTGTTAGGTCTGACTGCACATTTATTTTCATTGTATATATCTATCTATGGTACAAATATGGCCCCCATCACAGTATCTGAGCACCCCACAGTCTTCACCAATGTATCTTTACAACACCGATAGAGTTGGGAAATGTTGTTTGCTTTGCTTCATCTGTAAAATATGGATAAGATTTCGTATGTTTATAATGCAGCAGGGACGTGAAACCAGAGTCTTAGATATACTAGTCTAGTATCCTAAACCATTGGACAATCCTTTTTTTAATACAGTGGGAGCTGAACTTTTGGCAGGCATGCTCCAAATTACCCTCACACCCTCCCCAGGTGCCGTTCCAGTTCTCTTCCCTTGTTTGATCTGCTGCTCTGCTTTCTGTTCCCTGCCTTGTGCTCCCTGAATGACCTGTTGCTCTGTCACTGTACCCTTTCACTGCCTGTCCCCCTCTATCTGCTCTGTGCTCTGTGCAGAGACTGTGTGCACCACAGGTTGGCTACCCTTGATCTAAAAGTTTATCATTGACATAAATATTGTGTGTAAATGTTTGAGGGAGCAGATTCAATTTGAGAACAAGAGTGGAATCGCTATAAGAAAGTTGAAGCTGATTGTAAAGCTTCTGAAGGAGCCTCATCAAACTATGACACAAAGTATCAGAGAATTAGCTGGTCTTCTAAACTTGGAAGACAAGTAGGAATATAGGAAGAAACCTGGTCTCTTTTATGCCATTGTCAAGGTGGTATGACAGGCAGCAATATCTTGGCTACTCATACAGCAAGATGTCTGAGGTTTCTAAATTCAAAACCTGCTTTCCTGCACATAGGGGGCCTTCTGGACTTTGATGTCATTTACGTTTCATTGCTAGGGCTTAAGAAACATGCATCCAGGCACAGATGAGCAGTGATTTTTGTTTTTGAATGGGCACTAGCTATTTTGAAACAAACACATTAATTTCTTATGCTGTGACTTGATAATGTCTTGAGTTGCTGCTATAGTAAGATTTTTAAGAGAGGGGTGTGAAATTAGTATTTGAGGAAATACTGAGATGGATCTATGCTGAATGAGGAATATCAAGGAAAGGATATTAGATTAACAGCAGCACAGAAGAAGGAACAGAATCAGCTAATACCACTGAAAAAGCCCAGTCTTACGTACTGTTCATTGTCTGTTACTTCCTTTAGGCTTGAAAGGTGCCTGGACCCAGTCTCTCATGTTTCATGCAGTGCCACTTCATCGGATGTCAGCCCAAATGCTGCCACTTCTGTCTGCTGTGCTGTTCAGAAACGAAGACATTTGGTTCTATGGCCAGCGGGTAATGCAAGTCATTTGGGTTTTTAAGGTTTAGGGTGCTGTTTGGGGAAATCTACTTTTTCCCCCTATTGATGGGTTATTTGTCTCTTTATTGTAAATCACTCTGAACCATTTGGATTAGGTAGGATAGAAAGCTAAATGATAATAATAATGATAATAATAATGTAAATGTGAAACAATTTTGCAGCTAGTGAATGAAGAAACCACAAAGTGTTGAAGCTAATGCAAACTATGGCCCACTGATGTCAACAGTTTTTACAATAATAAATCTGTACTTTCCAGTATGTTTGCTATGGGTCCTAACTCAATCCCTTTTAGTCTCTATCAGGAGAGTGAAATGTTTTTAATATCTAGGAAATGCCATGTTGGGGTGTCCAACCTGTGGCATGAATGTCACCAGTGGTATAGGCCGCCTCTCTGTGTGGCATGTGGCAGATTGAGGAGGGGACAGAAAGCACAGTGGTAGATAGAGCAGAAAGCAGAGTAGCAGATTGGTCAGGAAGCATAGGCCAGAAAGCAGAGTAGCAGATTGGGTATGGGGAGGAGACTAGAGTGGCACTCAGGAAGGGGGCAGGGCTAATTTGTGACACACTTGCCAAAAAAGGTTGGACTCCACTGTGCTATGCCAAATGGAAAGGGTTTTTTAATGGTGAGACAACAAAATAAGAAATATACCACTGTTTATCATGATTATAGCTGGACTTGCTACTATTTCCTATTTCCAAATTCTTTTGTTTCAAGTGGTAGTTGCAGAGAGGAGGAGGAAAAATTAATTCAGTCTGAAACGACTGAATAACTTGTACTTGCATCTTTGAATATTGTTTCACTGTTCAAGTACAGGGCAGTAGTACTTAAGTGTATGTATCTGTAATCAATGCTTCAGAACATTTAAGTCTGCTATTTACTTGGTTATCTTCTGGCACAGGTAGCCTTACACATATAAGATTACCAGTGAACTTTCTGCCAAAATAATTCTCCATTTCCATTGATATTTTCCTGATCATTCACTTGTATGCACGGACCTTGGTTTCAGTTCAGGGTGTTTTGTTCAGAATATCAAATTCTTGGGTAGATCCATATTAGGAAAAGAGGGTTATTCTTGCTCATGTTAGCTAGCATGGTAATTCAAAACACACAAAATTCTATTGGAGATGAAGCAGTTCATAGTTTTCATTTGTTAGCAGATTGAGGTAAGATTAGGGTTTAAATCAACCTTTTGAAATATGTTAATATTAGATCTACTGTCTTCACTCTGTTTTTATCCTGTATTACTTCTGATTAGCTAAAGCCAAGGTGAGAACATATCCCTTTTCTCTGTTGCAAGTAGGTCTTTACACATTTTAAATCAGTTAGGTCAAGTAACATTTGTCCAGGTTGGAAAACCCGAAAGTGTATGTTCCTCATTTTCTTTTTTATATTTTTGATACAGAAGGGTGCAACATTTCAAGTGTTAGTAAAGAAATAGTTTGAACGTTTCTTTTCTAAAAACAAGCCCATGGTTTTTCAGCAGTCACAAGTAGTCCTCTAGGCTAGGGACAGACATTCAAAAAGCCAGACCTTGAATTGATGCAATCTTTGCAGGTTAGTCTAACCTGCCTAGGTTGAACCAATTTGCAACTGTACAGACATTCCCTTTGGACTGAGGAAATGCTGGCACATGCCTGCAGTTGCTCAGGCCAGGAATTTTGGGATGCTAGAGCAGGGAAGGTGTGCGTTCGTGCGTGCATGGGAGGGGGGCGGGAGGAGGCACAACCAGCTTGGGCATTAGTCTTGGCTGAAGTGGCCAGAGAGGGGTTTAATCCCCCACCCCTTGTCCCACCAGCAGGAACCCGAGCTGGGTCTGCCGGATGCTCCTCCCTCACTGTTGAAGTCCCTGTCACATTTTCCTGGAGCACAAGCCCCTTCCTGGTGGTTTTCCTGGAGCATGAGCCCCTTCTTGGTGGGGGAGGGCATGCTGTGGGGTGGGGAAAGCTGCTGTGGACTGCAGCAACGGCAGTGCTGGGAGGGTCCCTGGTCCCCTCTGGGCCTGGTGCTGCTTCATGCGACTGCATGCCCACCCTGCACCATTAAACACAAGGTCTTTAGCCTTACATGACAGAAACTCAGGTTCTTGTACTGTGTTCATTTCCAAACTCAAAAAGAATAGAAATATTCTGACCACCATGTTTTCCCCCTGCTCCTTTATTAGGGATCTTTCCACAGTTCAGAATACTCAGTTTTCAATAAAGGCAAAATAGCTGAAAATTAATAGGTAAATCTTATTTATAAAGGCGTATTACTGAAGCAAGTTAACCGTTTACAAAATGGTAGATAGGCCAGTTCTATTCTGCTGTGTCTAGCAAACTTCCACTGTTTTAAACTGAAAGTTGTTAATTTTTACAGGCTGACATTAACAGTAGCATATAGTCAATTACTTGCTTGTCATTTCCTTGCTTTATTTGATATTGACAGTTTTCTAATGGTGGATTGAGGCTGATTTTAACTTTTAGGCTCATTTTTATTTCAGCATGAGACACACCCCTATTACAACCTTACAGTGAAACTACTCAGAGCCAGAAACATCCGTGGCATAGATTTGTGTAAGTCCTTACCTCATGTTCATGCTCTTTGGAGAGATGTCAGTTGATACTAAATTAACTGCCATAAGCTTTTAAGTTTTAATTTATTAGTTGTGATCAAATAGTAAAAGAAGTAAAGAAGGAGCCATATTAATCTGATAGGGCAGGAAATGTTTCTGTTGATTATTCGGTTACACCAGTGTAAATCAGGACCGACACCAATCAAATAAATAGATTTGTGCTATTGTAAAATCTGTGACAAGTACGAAGAAAAATCTATGCAAAGTTAATGACAAGTTACTAATCCTTTCACAAACTCACTTTAACAGCAATGTTTTAATTCAACATTACATCAGTTCTTAGTTTGGCATTGTAATCTTGTTTAGCTTGATTTTGAAATGTGGTTGAATCTATAAAAATGGCAGTATATCTTCAAAACCATTTGTGCATGTAAACAGGTACTTGTGTATACAAATTAAATAACAGAACTGTTCTTTTCCAAGCATAGATACCTGTTTGCGTGCAAATAGATGACGGTTTCTGTAGATGGAAATGTAACATTTGCTTTTCTATATGTCCCTGAAAGAGAGAGATGGGGGTAAAGCAGTTTTTCAGTTCATCAGCTGATATCTATAATAATAAATAATAATAGGCTTATTATTATAGGCTGTCCAGAGCACTCTGGTTGCCTTGACAGTCAGTCACAATGCTTACTGAAGCAACCAGAGTGCTCCAGACAGACTGAATAAGCAGCTGGTGGGTGAGCTGTCGGTGGGCCCTAAGCTGTGGGGGGCCCCAGTGCTTCCTTCCACAGTGGTGGTGTCCCCCTGGGACCACCCGGTGGGGTGCCAGTAGGTGAGTGCTGCCTGTCCCTGCCACCTGGGACTGCCTGGGAATGGGCTGGCAGCCCCAGGAAGGTGGCAGGAGGGCAACTGGGTGTGCTGGCAGCCAGAGAAGGTGGTGGGAATGGTGCACAGGGCAGTGCAAACCCGCCAAGCCCAAGCTTCCCTAAGCATGCCTGGGCTTCCAGTGCCCCATGCACTGTCCCTGCTGCCTTCACTGCATACAAATCCCTCCCTTGTACACATGAGGAATATTGCTTTAATTTATGTAGCAAACTAAAATATATGGGTTATGTTTTAATTTGCTTCATAAAGTAATTTGAATCAAAATATGCCATTGAAATACACTGTTACAAAATGTAATCATAACATGCTGTTGAACGTATGCACTGTTACACAATTAAATTGTTAAAAAGGGTGCCTAAACCACTAAAAGGGGCAGTTTCCCTATGTGTACAAGGGCCCTTAGTCACGTGTACAAGGGTCCTTTTATTTTATAACTATAATCAAGTCACAAGCATTGGTAATGCGTAGGGGGTGCATGTGGGTGTACGTTTACCCCCTGAGATTGGCTGTGCGCCCCCTGGAAGTGCCAGCCGCGAAGCTGGAAATGCCAGTGGAAGTGCACTTCTGGTTTTGCTGATTTCACCGCTGGTGGTTCTGCATTCGATGATCGGCTGCTGGGGGACCCCCCCGGGGCCCCCCCCAGTTAGTGATCGGCCATGGGGGGGGGACGATTTAGTGCCCCACCCTCCCCCCCAGGTTTCAGGAGGCACCAGTCACACATGGTCACAAGGTCAGATTTTTTCAAAATATGTATTTATATTCCTCAGCCTGTTTACACATGGACAGCTTTATGTAGCCTTTTTGAAGGTGAGAAGTTTTGATTCTGTTAAAGTATTTGGTTAAAGGATAACTAAAAATCCTGTATTTAAAGAAATACTTTTGCAATAAAAAATGTAATCACAAATGTTTTGCAGGTTTCGGCTAGTGTGTGTGTGTATTGTTTATGTGTGTAAGTGCTTAGAGATGGGAATTTTGCAATTGTTCAAATGCTCATCAGTAGATTCTAATAAATAAAAGACCTCTGAGCTTGGTGCAGTAACTGACTTTTGAACCCCATGAGGACATGAATGTTCTGACAGCTACTTTGAATGCTGTGTTGTTACATTTCATAATTGGTACTACAGACTATTGGCAATAAGTCAGATACTGGGACATGATGTGCTGTGAAGAAGGCATGAACTATTATGGCAAAGACAGCCTGCTTGTGGATTGGCTTCCATCATTTTTCTGTCTTTCCTTTCAGTGTCCAAAGCAAACTGCTATGTGGCATTGAAGCTTCCAGCTGCATCTCCATTCACTTCTCGAACGCAGGTTGTTTATAACTCCAGCCATCCAGAATGGAACGAAACCTTTGAATACAGAATCCACAGTGCTGTAAAGGTGAGCCTCTACTGTGGAGCTGACCAGATGCTACCTGCAGTGAGACGATCTTGGCATTTGAAAAGCAAGCAAGCTTTATTGTAAGATGCAAAAACTGTGAAATAAAAGTGAAAGCCTCAGGTCATGCCTCTATTAAGATCTTTGTTTCACTTAGAAGAAGTATTTCTACATCAGATATACGTGAGGTAGATTTCAGTGAAGAATTCTGTTGTCACAAGAAGAGCAGAGCTCTACAATGGTAGAGGGAAAGTATGACACTTTCAGGATTTTGAGGTGGTGGCAGCACTGATAGAAAAAAATGTGATATTTTTTTTTTGCATTCATAAAAAGGAGATTTGTTTGCAAATTGACTAATCATATTTATGTGCTACAAAGTACTGTATAAACTAATCTTCAAAGTACTCCAGGGTGTGTAGGGTAAACAAATTCCTGTTTCACACAAGCTGAGGCATGTAAGTTTTGTGACTTGCTCCAGCCACACTGGAAGTCTGACAAAGGCAGGATTAGAAGTCTATTTTTTTTCTGGAGACCACTTCCTCTTTTATAATTAAGAGTAAAGCATGAAGGGAGATGGGGAATCAGTTCAACATCCCAAAGCAGGAGTTTGAAGAAGGTGGATAGATGGGAATGCAGTTCTTCCTCAGGATGCCATGTGGGATTGGCTGGTTGAACGTTATCCTTTTGGAAAGGCTTTGGCACCTGTGCTCCCATAATTTTTAACATGAATATGTACATAAAATCAATTTCTGATAACAAGGTGACCAAGAAGTCCTTGGCCATACAAAAACAAAATTAAACTAAACTAATTAGCTTTATTGTAGATAGACAAGTGAAAACATTACAATGACATCTGTACGACATTTTGCTTCTGAGAACTGTGCCATTGTATACCTGAAATATTACCTATTGTGTTTTCAAACTTGCTAAGTCAGCAGACTTTACAGTTACGTTGAACACCTTATGTATGCCAAACTGCTGAATATAATTATATAAATTATGGCTAAAGCCATGATTTTGTTATAGCCGTCCCGATAGCAATGGAAACCATGAATTTGAATACATTCCATAAAATCTTGCAAATAGGTGCAAAGATGCATCTAATTTGGTGGATTCTTTAGTTTACTTACAAGTACATGTTTTCACATGCCCGTGTCAACTTGAATCACTTGGTCTCTTTCAGTGAGGTTATTGTTTTGCTGTTGTAAGCATGTAGCAAGGTGTAGTTCAGCCAGTGAGATTTCTAACAGAAAATTGCATGTTGCTAATATTTCTGTGAATACTGTTTCTTTTCCCATGCTTCTGCCCTGTAATTTGCTAAGAATGATGGTGCCAAAATCATAGCTTTATTTATAATTTCAGTACTAAATTGCATGAAGCTGCTCACAACCTAGAGGAGGCTGAACACATTAGAAAAGTTTTCATATCCAGCCAGAGCAGACGCTTGCTGCTAACTTTTTATTTGTTAATGGAGAATTCATATGTATCTTAAGTGTTCAGCTTGCTGTCTGACATTGTAAACTCCTTCAGTGACGACTTTGTGCCCTACCCCGGAGCAGTGTAGTTTGCTAGAACCAGGGATGCCTTGCAATATTGGAATACTTGTCTAGTTTAGGATTTGTTCTCCCAGAATAATATGCTCAATGGCACTAAATTTGCTGTCTGTGGTGCTTGTGCTTCCTTTGTTACATGCCTCTGCTAGTTGTCTGCCTTCCTTCTTGGCTACTAATCTTTTCTCCTTTTTCTCTTGATTTCTCTATCCCTCTATTCCTTTGCTTCTTTCAGGCACCAATTGTGTTACTGTAGGACACAGATTGAATTGTATCCCTGGTTACCACTTACTTCACCTTATACCAGTGGTGCTCAACTTTCTGGCCCTGTAGGCCAGATGAGTGGTGTGGGGCTGGTCCATGGGCTGCATTGGGCCCCATGCTGTTCCCATGTGCTGGGATTGGGGTCTAGAGCCTTGCACCATACCTGTCTGGCCCTACATACTGGGGTTGGGTGCTGGGGCCCCGTGAGCTGGGACTGGGACCCTGTGCTACTCTATTTGCCCAACCTAGCATGTAGGTCTGCAGCCCATGGGGCTTCCCACAGATGCCTCTGTGCTTGTTGATTTATCTATGTCTTCAGGTGTAAAATGTTCAGTGAAGATGCCATGTATAAATTGTCTGTCCCACATTCTCAGACTGGATCTTTTCCATAAAAAATAACACCGGTGTGGAGTTTTGTCATAATTTAAAAGGGACAATGTCATAATTTAAAAGGGATAATAATTTGTCATAATTTTTGTCATAATTTTTGTCGTAATTTTAAGTTTCGTCATAATTTAAAAGGGATAATGGAACAGAAACCTAGTAGGAGAAATCATTCATTTTCTTGAAAACAAAAGGGCAAAAGAGAAAAGACAGAATATTAAATGAATTGAAAATGCCTCTTCATTCAGCATAAGGCTGGGGTATATATGGCTGTCTTTTGAAGATGTTCACGTGTGATCTCTACCTCTTTTTCTCCCATTTTAGAATATCTTGGAGTTCACATTCTATGACAAAGATGTGGTGATGGACAGTCATGCTAAATCGATTGCTTTTGATGTAGGGAATATTAAACCAGGCCAGGCGTTGAGTCACACATTTGTGCTAAATCCCCAGGTAAGATTTTCCTAGTCATGTGTTTGGGGGGGGAGGGAGAGGGGAAGACAAGCAGAGTTAGTCATATGAAGGAACGTGCAGTGAAGGTGCTTCCTCTGCTAGGTGTATGCTGGATTGTGGCACTGATTAATTTCTTAGATGTTTTTTCCAGGATGGGGGGGTGATGTGATACTTCATATTTTTAAACTGAAAATGCAATGACCCTGGATTCTATTTCAGAGATCATGCTCTGCCACAGGGGTGCAAAACATCTGGCCTGCAGTATCCTATAATCCAGCCCCTGGTGCTTCCCTTTTTGCTGTACCAGACCAGCCCCCCATGCAGTGCCTAGGACATGCATCACCTGAGGTGCTAACTTGGGCCAGGTCCCAGGCTGCACTGCTCATGGGGCTGGTCCCAGACTGTCAACCATGCTGCTTGGCACCAGTCTCTGGCTGTGCCACCCGTGCCACAGCAAGTGGTACAGACTGGGACAGGCTCCAGCAGGGCAGCCCACTGGAGCTGGGTTCCAAGCTGCACTGTCTGCTGGGGCTAGTCCTAGGCTACATTACCTGTCGGGGCCAGGCCTGTGTGTGGGTGGGGGCCATGTACCGGATCCAGCCCATGGACCAGCCCTGTGCCACTCATCTGGCCTGGAGGAGTTTGACACCCTTGCTCTACCTTTTACCCACATACCTTAATCTATAAAACCTCATTCAGGGTGCTGTGCTCAAACACCCTTTTTTTGGTTTTGCTTCCAGAATTCACAGTAGGATACACACTTCCATAAACTATTGGCAGTATTTGACATGAAGTTCATGCTGAAAATTCCATTAGGAAATATTCAAGTTCCTGTTACTCGTTTCCTCATCCCATTTCTGGAAGAATTAGTGGCAGCTTCATAGATTTCATAGACATTAGGCCTGGTAGGGACCTTGGAAGATCATCAAATTCAGCCCCCTGCCCTAGGGGCAGGAAGACAGCTGGGGTCACAGGATCCCAGCAAGATAACCATCCAATTGACTCTTAAAGGAGTCCAGAGTAGGTGCTTGCACCATCTCTGGTGGCAGTCTGTTCCACACCTTGGGGGCTCGGACAGTAAAGAAATCCTTCCTTATGTCCAGCTTGAAACGGTTTTAAAGGAGTCTGTGACTGTTTGACCTTGTCATCCCATGGGGTGCTCTGGTGAACAGGCGTTCCTCCATATCCTGATGTACACCCCTTATAGACTTATAGGCAGTTACCACGTCCCCCCTGAGCCTGTGCTGACAAAGTACAATGAAAAAAACCTCTCCTTGAGGTTGTATATCAACATCTGGGCAGTTATTTTGCTGCAACATTAAACACATTCCTCTCTGCCTCCCTCCTGCACTCTTCCACTCCCTGCTACTTTCCTTCTCATTTGCTGTGGAGACTGTCTTTCCACCTGTCACCAATACCTCACTTGGGGATCTTCAGGCTCTCTCACACAGATTATGTCAAAGTCTTGGAGATTATTTCTACCAAAATCTCTAAAGTATAGCCATTTTATCCAACCATACAGCTAAAACTCTCATTGAGGCATCTTCCATTTAGATTAATTCAACATCTTTTTCTTGGCCTTGACACATGCAGCTGCCCACATCCATCCAGGGTGATACTGCAAAGACCGCTGTCTGAAGCTGTCACTCTGTTCACATCATCCCTCTACTGGCTCCTCCTTCTCTAGCACATCCCTCTTGCCTTTCATTTGATAATGGCACTTATACTAAATAACCACAATCCCTCCACAGTAATTCTGGTTCCTTTCCTTAGAGGTAAAAACCACACTCTGCACTACCTACAGTTTTCTTGGAGAAGTTGCGTAAAATGCTGATATACTTTAGTCATGTTTTGGATGCTGAGATTTGAGGTGACAGGGCTGCAGACCATAGATGAAAGCCAATTAAAGCACAAATATTGGCACAGAAAGCTCATGGTCAGAAGTGGCCCTTAGATATTAGCTTATCTCAAGAAAATCTGAAGTGTTTTACCTTTGGGTAAGTCTGTAGGCTGCTGTATCTGTTTTGCAATCATCTCGTGGTTGCTTTCATTATTCATTGTCCTGTTATGTCGTAATTGAACTCCTCTGCTATAAGGTGAGAATAGTCCAAAACATCTCCTTTACCAATGTTTACTGTCTCAGTGGCTTTGGTTGTGCCATAGTCTCTTGTGTTCTCTTCCTGTAGCACCCGGTTTATGGAACTCGGGGGTTTCTTGTATTGTAAAAATCTTGGTGGTTACAGTATGCTAGAGGGTATTTTTGATATGTCTAGGTGAGTGGTGCTCAACCTTTTTGCTCCATGGGCCAAGATCCAGTTTTTGACCCAGACCTGGTGCATGGGACAGGTGTAGTGGGGCCTGATCCAGCTGTGTGGAGGGGTAGAAGGGCAGCCCAGTCCTGATTCGGCTGCATAAGGTGAAGAGGGCATGGCCCAGCTCTGATCCATCAATGCAGGGCTTTGGTAGCAGGGAGGGATGGCAGTATTAATTGCTATTGCTCCCACCTGCCCCCGCCAAATTTCTCAACCCATGGGTTGCCCCCCAGCCAGGTGTCATGGCTCCCCAGACCTGGGGGTTGAGTGCTGCTGGTCTATACCATCCCAGCCTGGCTCCAAGGAGCACTGTACTGAGCTGTGCTGCTCATGCTACCTGATGAACCAGAAACCATATAGCTGCCTTACTATGGTGCTGCACATGTGCCAAAAAGCTCTATTTGTCTCATTTGCCAGCTTCAGGGGAGGATACTCACACTCCCTTTTGGCAGTAAGGTGCTCTAAATGCAGCAGGTTAGCATGGGAAAGGTATTGCAGATGAAGAAAATAAAACAGTAAACCTAAAAAAGAGATGCTGAATCTTTGTATCAGGGTCAGGGCAGCTTAAATTTTTGCGCTGGGGGTCTGGAGATGATATTCTCATGAGACATTACCACAGGGGGACTGGGTTCCTGGAGTTACAAATTGTTTTTTCCTGTACATAGCTGACCTATTGTGTATCTGATCTCTTTCAAGAAAAAGGAGAAGAAAGAAGAGTTGGATGTGGAATTTTATTTGGAAGAAAGGTAAGGTTCTTATCAAATGCTGCTTAATGCAAATCTAATTGTGAATGACCCTTTGTCAGTTACTGGTGGCACTTCTTGGCTCATTTATGGCCAGACACCTGATTAAACATGTCCATGAGGCTGCTGCTTCCTTAGCCTGAAGGTATTGTTGAAGCCCTGGTTTGAAGAAGTTGCATTACTGTTAGTAACCTGGGTAGCTCTGGAAATTTCACATGATATAATCCAATGTTTTAAAGGTAATATGTGGGATGACTGGCCTCCTCTTCAACTCCTCAATTCCTGGGTTATGACTCTCCTTATGAAAAGATGGGAGAATCCAAGCCATCTTATAAACCAAAATGTTATTTCTCTACCAGTAGGGGAAAATGGTGTCTGAAACAGAAAAAAAAAAAAACCTTTGCTAAACATTCTTTCATTGTCAGATGATAAACTATTAAATGTCTTGCAGTGAGTGTCCCTGAAGCATTAAGTTAGGGTAGATATGTAAAAGGGGGAGTGTAGCCAAAGGATCAAAGCTGGTTCATATTAACCTTTAATTTCCACAGCACGGATACTCCAACTGAGGTCATCACCAATGGAGTTCTAGTGGTGAGTGGGCAACATTTTTGCTAACTCTTGCAAGGATTATTTTGTGTGCGGTCTACTTGTAGTTCAGTAGTGCTGGTGCTTTGATTTCCAATCTTCTTTAAACCCTTCCTTTGTTTTCATTTGTTTATGAGTGAAAAATTGAAGATGTCTCTTGGGCTGCTATAGTAATTGCTTCTTCCCATTTTCCAACAGGTCATCAGATGGGTTTGTACTGGAGACCTTCAATACTGTAGAAGAGACCACTATCACTTGAGCTAAAGGAATTAGCTGCTTGCCATAATAGGCTGTTATACCCTAGTTTCCTAGGTGACATGGCATTAGAAAGTGGCATGATATACTTTTTCCATAAATAGCATTAAAGCCTGGTCTCGTGTTCAAGGCAGATTTTGAAAGGGTGTGCGCGCGCGTGTGTGTGTGTGTATTAGGGAAAGTATTGTAGACTTCTATGAACATTAAGGAGCATACTGATTTCCAGCAAATACCTTCAAGGAAATTCTCTCTTCCTAGCCATGTACACTCATTCCTGTACCCTTACTAACAAATAAGCTTGGGATCCAAACTTTCCAGGCTATTTTATTTCATTGCTTGAGGTAGGAAACAAAATGAAGAATAAGTAGTTGGAAGATAATTTGAAGGCTCAAGAGTCATTCTGGGCACAGTGGAAAGGAGTCCTGCCTGTAATTTTCTTTAGGGCTCAAAAATAAATTAATTCTAAATAGGTCTTAATTTTGTCATTGGATAATTAATTAAACAACTTTTCCTCACTGAAACATAAGCTAGTGGTCTATGAGGAGAAGAGCAGAAATTTGTAGATAAGAATCTTACAACCCTTTTCCCCCTATATAGGCTCATCCCTGCCTGTGTGTTAAAGGCACCCTCAATAAAAGCAAGAAGACCCAATGGATAATACAGGGTAAGCATTTCTCCCTTTAGCATGTACAGCTCTTTTAAGGCAGAGGATGTGGTAGGAAACTGCATGTGTCCTTGTTACAGAGTTTTATAAAATAATGTCTGTTTGTAGCAACCCTTGGTAACAGGAACAACAATTTACTAGTTTTTCTCTGGGGAACATTTTCCCTACTATGCAGTTAAGTGTTGCCCTATAACTGCAAAAAATGCTTATGAGCAACTTAGCAGCAGGGCACAGACTTGTGCCACAGGCTGGTATTAATTATAACTGATATGGGGTGACTGCAGTCAGTTAGCCCAAGACCTAAAGGAAATCTGTCATATTCCTTCCTCATGGTGGTTTTGTTCTGCTGGCTGGCAGGAACAGATGTCTATCTAGGTAGGAATCATTTGGTGCTGAGGAGAAAAGCCTGGGGTAGCTGGGGACCATCCAGACATTTTCTGAGCAATATTGCTCACCACAACTACCCAACAAGAATCCCATCTTGTACTTGGCTTGTTTCACCCACTACTATGTGGCACACCGGAGGGAAGTGCTCCTGCACCTATGCTGGCAGCATGCCCAACCTGCGTAGTAGGTAGTAGGGCTGTGCGAAACAGAAGCGTTTTGTTTCAACCAGCGTTTCGAAGTTTTGACAGAACAGCATTTCGTTTCAACTTTTGTTTTGAGTCGAAACGACTGTTCTGTTTCCTTCTGTCTAAACGTTTTGCCATTTCGACCCTGTTTCGACATTTTGCCCATAGGATATAATGGGGAAGGTTGAAACAGGATATAACTTTGTCATTTCTGGCCTGACTTGGATGAAACTTGCAGGAATGGTACCCCCTTCTGAAGGCATTATGCATGCCAAGTTTCACAAAGATAGGTACAGGGGGTTCAGAGAAACTGCACCCCACAGTCTTGAGAGCAAAACTCATGTTAAGCCACAGCAGGGTCAAAACTGCAGAAGTAGTATCCCCCTGCTGAGGCCACAAAGCCTGCTAAGTTTCAAGGAGATAGGTGCAGGGGGAGTGGGAAAACTGCATCCCAAAATCTTGAAAGCAAAACTCATGTCACGTGTATGTATTAAACCACAGCAGGGTCAAAACTGCAGGCTTGCTAGCCCCTGCTAAGGTCACAAAGCCTGCCAAGTTTCAAGGAGATAAGTGCAGGGGTTTGGGGAAAACTGCACCTCAAGCTGCAGACAAGCAAAACTTGTGACATGGGTGCTTGTGTGTCCCAAGACAGAGACAGTCAGTTGCACAAGCACTGATGCCATGAGTTTTGTCTATCAGCAGCTAGGGGTGCAGGGCCCCAGAACCCCCCTGCACCGATCTCGACAGCTGGCTGGCTTCTTGGCCAGAGCAGGGGCTACCATCCCTGCAGCTTTTACCCTGCTGCGCCTTAACACACACAGTGTCACCCATGTCATGAGTTTTGTTTGTCTGCAGCTTGAGGTGCAGTTTCCCCCAAACCCCTTTACTTATCTCCTTGAAACTTGGTAGGCTTTGCGGCCTCCACAGAGGCTAGCAAACCTGCAGTTTTGACCCCATTGTGGCTTAACATGTACACGTGACATGAGTTTTGCTTTCAAGAATTTTGGGTGCAGTTTCTCTGAACTCCCTGCACCGATCTCCTTGAAACATGGCAGGCTCTGTGGCCTCAGCAGGGGCTACCATTTCTGCAAGTTTTATCCAATGTGGCCAGAAATGACAAGGCTGTTTTGACCTTCCCCATTATAGCCTATGGGCAAAACGTCGATATGGTGAAACGTTTAGACTTGCTTCGTTTCGTTTTGAGGCTGTTTTGACCATATCTGTTTCATTTTTATTTTGCTGTTTTGACCCTGAAGCAGGTCGAAACAGATTCGAAACAAAACTGGTGGCGAAATTTCGCACAGCCCTAGTAGGTAGGCCTGAGTCTACCCCTGGAAGCCAGGAAACAAGACTTAGGCTATACTTTTGTTACACTAGAGTGCATGTGTAGGATCGGCAGCTGAGGATAATGAAGTAGCTTATTTTGCAGCAATTGTTGCATGCCGGATTTTAGGAGATCAGAATACAGCCTGGTTTTAGTGAGCAGCTGGGATAGGGATTCAGGCTGGGAAATTTGTCACTGAGGAATGACTGTAATTTAGAATGTTGTAAGTTTCCTTTTCTGCCTATGCTGTTAATTGTGACTTAGACTTCTGATTTTACTGCTCAGAGAACTGTCAGGTCCACTTGTCAGTGCCTGGTGCCTTTGAGAATCAGTCCTCCACTTTTTGCAGTGCTGATTCAGAAAACAGAAGGAAGATACCATTTCTCTTCCATGTAGATAGAGAAATCCACCCTCAGCTGGACTTGGAACTGCTGCAAACTACAGCTGTCATAGAGGTGAGAAACAACATTTCTTAGAGTTTTGATGCACTAGGGCAGATCCAGATTTAAACAGTGCAAGAATGGAGCTACATATTATATTAAATAATGAGGGTAAACACAATACTCTATAGCTGCTTATTGAGTTTCAGTCAATCCCATACAGTGAATGATTTATGGGTCCTGTAGAAAAACCGGTATGTAACTACAGACAGTAAGAAAGTGAATATGTTAAAAATGACAGAATTTAAGATTGCACAGGCAATATTAGTCTGGCATTTTCTACTTTTGAGTGCTCAACTTTACAACTTTAATAATAATTTTGTAACCTTTTTTGTAATATATATATAATTCAATTGCCCAAATTTATCTTTTTAAGAGGCATAGTCAAAGGTTTAAGTCAAAGGAAACAATAGTTGATTACAGTGGAAGTGGGATTAGGCCATTTATATATTATTGTAAATCCTCAGTTAGACTTCAAGTTTGGGTCCAAGTGTGGAAATTGGTGTGTCATTTTTTTATTGTTAGAGAATTTAAAGGCAGTATATCTATTCCTGAATTGCATTTGCAACTTAAAACTTCCACATTAACAAAGTGTGGTTTAAAAACTATATATTATGGGCATTTTTACATATGCTCCCAATGCAGCACTGGGCACTTTTAATTAGGAAGTCTCTCTAATTAAAAGCACCCAGTGCCACATCAGGTACACAGCACGCCTCTGTGCTGAGTAAATGGTGGCGGTGTGCTTTGAACTAAAGCACAATGAATGTTTTTTAGTTCAAAGCACCCTGCCGATGCATGTGATTCATGAAGCTGCCAGAACATGTCAATTCATGTGCTTTTCCAGTAAATTGAATTCCAGTAAAAGGATTTACAGTGTGTCGGAGCAGGCTTTTTGCATGTGCATAATAAATGGCCAGCCAGTTTTGCTTCTTCTAATGGTGGATATAAGGTTTTCTTTTAGTCAATAGCTCACCATTGAGCTATATGTTTGGTAATGATTCTATAGCACATTTAATGATGGAAAGATGCTGTTTTATTTGTATATACCAATGCTTCTGTTGATTCAAGCTGAGCATTTTGATTTGTAGGAGGGGTGGACTGAGGACTTAAAAATGCACACTGCACGCTTAGGAATGGGATCAGTTCCTGTGGGAACCCTCCCACTGGGACAAGAAGCAGAATTTAGTGTTCTACTAGGAAAGGTAATTCTCTCTCTCTCTCTCTCTCTCTCGATTCTTTTCTAGCATGGAATGATTGTGGCTAAGATTTGTACTTTTAAACTTCATACTGTTTTTCTGTTATTATTTGTCTTGTTAATTTAAATTATAAGTAGGGGTCTATCCAACTTGAGGAGGCAGCTGGCTGAATTCATGGGCAGATCGTGGGACCAGCCACCATTTTCGTGGGCTGATCATGGCAGGGACCTTTCGTGCCTCTGATTGGCCAAGGACCCCTGGCAGTCCTGTCCCTCCCCACAGATTGCCGGATGGCCTGAAACTGCAGCTTAATTGCTTAATAATGTTTCCCTTAATGGCTTCTATGGGCTTAATCAGGGGATTAAGCCTGTGGAAGCCACTAATTGATGCCTTATTAAGCAATCAATGAAATGCTAAACTGAAATGTTTTATGAAATTAAACGCAACATGAGTTGTAACTAATACCATCACTATACAATTTATTAAAGGACGTTGTAAGAAGAAGTTTATTCAATGCTAATCTTGAGGTAGATTAATTCATGCTAACTGTTAAATGCTAGTGTGCTGCATCCAGCAGCAGTAGCTGCAGACATTTTCTGTCTCTGTAGGCTGAACACTTGTCCATACACTGAGATGGCATGCTCAGCATCCACTGAGTTAATTAGAATGGTGAGAGAGTGTCTTGCCAGGGTGTAGAGATGTGGAAAACAGTCACAGATAGAGTCCCAAAATGCAGGCACAGGCATCTGGCACTCTTTGACAAAGTTCATGTAAGCAGCACTTCCTTGTCATGCTCTTTCTTCCATTAAGGAATTGATTTCAGTAGCTGAGGGTCACAACTTGGAACAAGCACCTGTTTGGGGTCCAAAATGTGAACAACACTAAGGAAGGAGGCAGTCAGTTGTCTGAACTGCAGTGGCAGTGATGGGTCATACCTGTAGTACTGGTTCAGCTTTACAGCTGTTGCCTGGAACAGGTCCCTTCCCCACTGGTTATCATGAGGACAACATGACAGTTCTTGTGATATCCTGTCTTCTACCCACCTTATCAAATCCACCAGCTTGTTGTGTGTGTGGTGGATCATACCGTGCTGGCCTTCAAGCCACATTAGAAGTTCCATGAACTGGGCGACATTTTCAGTCACAAACATCACTTGATCTTAAATGTTGCCCCATCTTAAGATATTACGAAGCTTAAGTGTGCACTGCGTGCTGGCTGTGATTTCCAGCTCCTCACTCACAAACTGCTGGTGTAGTACTGCATATTCTTGGCATGGTTACAGACTGCACTGAACCACCAATTCCACCTTGTGAGCACAGGCTCTTGTGCCAGTGGCATGTGAGGCCCCACTTTGACTGATGATGGATTCCACGTACCAGAGCTTATGGCCTGGGCAGTGCTTGAAGGCTTTCTTGAAGGAGGACATCGGGCTATCGACATCGGGGAACAGCGTGTGCTAGATGTCACTTACTAAAGACAGACGGTGTTCATTGCAGGTGACATGAACTATGTTGGGCAGCATTCCTTTGAACACATCAGAGAAAGCCCTACACATGACACTTCCATTGTTGGACAGGAGTACCGAGATCTTGTTAAATTTTAAGCCACAGTTGACAATTGATTTCACTATGGCCTGAAACACGGTAGAAAAATTGACAGATGTGAGGTCAACTGGCTCTGTTTGAAACACAGGCAGGTCTCAGTCTGTCCAGCTCCCAGGTACAAATAACATGTGCAACATGTAGTTATCTTCATGGCTGGTGGCTTCATTGGCCACAACGGAGAAGGATTCATACTCTGCCAATACAGACTTTGTGAGCCGTACATATGAAGCAATCACTGCGGGGAGACAGTTTTGACAAAGCTTGTTTGCACATGGAAAACTGCCAGCATTTGGCATGTTTGGGTTCAGGAAGTCCCTTAACTAAGGATGATCAAGTTTCTTCAGTGGGCTGTTTGCCTTTACAAAAACTGCCATGAGGGAAAATGTTGTCTCTTGCCTTACCAAGCTGCTTTCCATAGTCCTTTTAAAGAGCAAGGACACAGCTGATTGTTTCTTGCTCTTGCCTTCAGATTCTACGGCAGCATTTCACTTTGTGTGCCTTGGGCTAAGTGTTGATCTATACTGGTTTTCCTTGACACTTCCAGAGTCAAATTGCAGGTGGTACAAAACAGTTTGTCTCCATCTGCGTGCAAGGTCCCTGCAGGATATTGCCTTACATGGTCCAGAGCTGAAACATGTGGCTGTCTTGGAGGATTTATTCTCAGTGTTCATGCTCAATCCTTCTTAGGCTGCAGATGCCTGTGGCTATTTTAAAAGCTGGTGCTAAACACCTCCCTCTTCCCTGACTGGCCCTGGACTGGCTACTGTATTAAACCTACACCACAGGCTCAGTCTCTGCTTTGCTCCCCTGCCCCTCCATGTGCTTCAGGACTGCAGGGCTTCCTTCCATTTTCTCTGCTTGCTGGTAAAGTTTTTTGTTTGTTTGTTTGTTTTTAAAGTGAGCCTGCCATTTTTTTGTAGCCCACCTGGTTTTGCATTTTTTGTGAAAAACATGAAATCACAATTTTAGTAGGTTCCTAATCATAAGCGATTTGAGGCATAGACTGTCTCTTACTGTGTAGTTAACCAGCACTCTAGAACAAGAACCTGATCTGACAAGGGCATTTGTGATACAGTAATAAAAAAATTGAATATCCTGTTTTTTCTATATGCATGAGAGCAAATGATTGCTGTTAAAAAAAAAATAAACCCAGACCTCAGTTATCCAGTCCTTTATCCGGGAGGATCTAGTGCCAATTTTTCATGTTAGTTCTGGAAATCATCTCAATAAAATCATTTTCAGGAGTGGTGGTTATTGGGTAACGGTAGGGAGGGTGAACATAAATGGGTGGGTGTGAATTAAGTAAAGTGGCAGGAGGGGTAAGAGGAAGGAATATGTTTGAATGATGGGGCTATAATGAATGGGTAAGATGGGTGGGGGGGGAGGCAACCATTAAGGGAGGAGAGACATTTGATTATGAATAAGGGAGGTAACAAGGTGGAGGAGGTTGATTATTAAAGTGAATAATGAAACACAAAGGAAATAATTGGGAAGAGAAATGTTAGAATAGAAAATAAAGCCAGGAACGAATGAGTGAGTTGACCATGATGTCTCCAAACTTCTGTCGTATTAGTTTAGATGCTCAAAACCTTCCACCATCTTGACAGAAGGCTACATTAATAAATTGTTATTTTTTTGGTAAAAAATTTAAAAACCCACATATTTATTGTCTTAAAGAGCTGTCCATTTTAATGAAAGCTGTAGTGTTCTTGCCATATGTAGAGTTTCAGGACTTTTGCTAATAACTTCCTGAAACAAATGACTTCTTTCCAAGCCAGTTTGCCTTAGTGTAGTAACAAGTTTAAAGTTTGTATGTTTATTAAGTAATTCAATTTTATGTCAGGAGATCAAAGGATGGATCACCTTGCTGTTTATAGTGACAAGTCATTCTGTCTTCGGGTCAGGGCAGACTTTCAGAGGAGGTGAATACATATTGTTTGATTCCCTTCATTGCTAGTTTTTTCTCTTTATAAAATAATGACCAATCTGGCTAATTCATTCATTTTTTTAATTTGTGTTTGGAAAACCATATGGTGGTAAGTTGGCTTTACTTCTGGATAGATATGATTGTAATTTTTATCATAAGCCGTGGCCATTCTTTGTACATTACTAGTGCGGACTTTTGTAAAACTGTCTTAGCTTTGTTTTTTTGGGGTTTTTTTTCCAGGAACAAGGTGTGGATCTGACTATTAAGGTTGAAGAATGGTGAGTCTGATACCCTAAAATTGCATTAAAGAGCTTATGATGAGTAGATGCTATTCTTGTTATAAATATGTCTTTTAACTATTTCAACTTCCCAGTTCCATTTACAATTCCTATTACAATGTATTTTCTTCTCCTGTTGAACCAGTTCAATGTAGCCTTAATGTCAAATGTGTTTTCATGGTATTGGAAACTCTGTGCAAGGAAAAGCTAAAATGATTATTAACTTGGGATGGATAAATTGGTTATGTGCAGCTCCCACCACAAGCTAAAACTTGTGGGAGCATGAAAAACCTGAACTCAGCTCCAAATTGTAAAATGTCTTACCACTGGTAGGCTGTATTTCTTCAAAGCAAAAAACTATTTCTGAGATGTTTTAGATTTTGCTCTGAGGATGGCCTGGACTGCAATCCATTGTCTCAGTTGTAGGTATTTAATTTGTTTTTCAGCCTACTGAAAGTTTACAAATTTCCTCTAATCACCTTTTACATCTGCTTTCAGGAAAGTTTTTGATGTTATTTAGAAATATAAATTGTTGTAGAGAATAAGCATTTCTCAAATACATAAGGAGGAGTATTTCTTTAAAGTAAAGTGACTGCACAGGTCTGTGTTTACCTGCAGGTGCGTGAGTGCTTCAAGGTTTTTCCAGTAGCTTTAGTTGCCTTTTTGGTGTTCTGTTTCTAAATGTATTCTTTGATGGTTATGATGCATTTATGATACAAGGGGCTGGACTTGATGATCTTCTGAGGTCCCTTCCAGCCCTAATGTCTATGAAATCTATGAAATTTGTCTAAAAGTTATCTTTTTAAACTCAATACAGGTATTACTTGAGAAATTGTCAGTATACACCATTGCAATCATTAAATGTAGGGGTGCACTGATAGAGATTTTGCGTGCCAATACCCTTTACCAATTTTTAAGGAGGAGCTGATACTGATCCAATTTCTGATACAGCTGCTTGCAGCTGGGAAGTTTGTTGTCCCCGGATCTGTGCTGGGGGGGAGAGGCAGGGCAGCCTGCAGCTGTGGGTTGGGGCCGGGGCTATGTTGTGCTCTTCCCGGTGGGAGGCTGGTCCACGCTGTGCTTGGGGTGGGCGGCACTGGTGCTGGAATGGCGGGCCATGGTGAAATTTGGGGGGGCTGCAGTCTACCCTCCTATAGCCATTCTCCCAGCATTGCCACCACCTGCCCAGAGCCCAGCCCAGCCTCCCAGCCCCAGCCTGCAGCTGCAGCCACCCCCTCCCCCCACACAGATCTGTGGGCACATGCCCCCCCCATGCCCTCCCGGGTTGTGCTCAGCAGCGGGAGCTGCCCACTTTCCCCCTGCTTCCTGGATGAGCCGCAGCTCTGTACTACACTGGCTGGGTAGTGCCTGCCCCACTCCCTCCCACACCGCAGGGGGTGTTGATCTGCCCTCCCCCCATGCCCCTTCCCTCCTTCCCCATCCACCACAACAGAATTACCAGCTGGAGCCAGCTCTCCAAGCTGCTGGGCTTTGCCCCTTACCGCCTGTGTCCTGTGCTGCAGCTGTGCGCATGCACGGGCATTTATTGGCCAAATTATTGGCCACATCAGGCCAATTTTCTTTATATTGGTGCCGATCCAATATCGGACCAATGTATCAGTGCACCTCTAATTAAATATTTGTTTAGTTTTGCTTTTATAATTATTTAATGAAAGAGAGCAAGATTGTAAACACATTTCCAAAAGAATTGAGCTTTGAACAGAGATTTTAAATGGTATGAAGCTGATCTGGAATACTGGAATGAAATGTTTGTTCGGACATGGAAGCACTGATTCCCCCC